CTTGCGCCGAACGTCCAGCACTTGCTCGTCCCGGACTTGTTGCGGATCCTGTCTGAAGGCTTTGAGAAGGAGCAAATCGCTGTGTGTCAGTGCCTTTCCAGGTGTGCTCCTTACCTGGGTGACAAAAAAGAGGCTTTCATCCATGAGTTGAACAAAGCAAAAGAGAGTTTCCGCTTTAAGGGGCTCATACCTTTTGCAGTTTTTGAAGCAGAGCTCAAGCTGCAGTCGCAAAGAGAGTCATGGTGGAATTTGTCCTTGAAGATGTGGTGTTGGTGAGCTCGGCCGCGATTGAGAGTTGCTTGCGCGGAAAAGAAAAACGGTTGTGCTCAGTCAGGCTTTTCAAGCCCTCAAGGCACACAGTGAAGTTCTGCGCCCACCCACCGTAAACCTGCTGTGGGCTGTGCATCACTGCAGGGTCACGGCGGCTTACATTCCAGGTCGCTGCCTTAAGGGCCTTGGACACAGCCAGCCTATACACGTTTCAAGAAGAAAATTCAAGTCAGCTTTTACATGTACCATGCTTTACCTGTTACATAGATTGGTCGGCTTCTGAGCAATCTATGTAAAAGCTACTATCGTCGATAAATATTATAACTCCCTGGACCCTTGTCAGCTGTCTCGAGCTCTGCGGCTTCTCTTCCCGCCATGGCTTCATGTGAGCAGTTTCCTTTAAGCCCGGATACTTGCCTGCAAGTATGGGTGGCTCGTTTGGCTACGAGAGGAAGGCCGGTGCACGAGCTTTATGCATAGAACTTGCTTCTGACCAGCGCCCTTGCTTTGATCTTGACTGTTCTGGATGCGGCCTGCGCCTGGAGCTGCTTCACAAGAAAGACACGTTGGATTATAAATCCCTCCAAATGCATGACATAGGGTACGAAGGCAATTACTGCCACAAGGTCGTGCAGAATTTTCTTGGGAGGCTGCCAAGTCCAATTAGAGCAATCGCGGTATCAATTGGAGGAACCTTGGTTTCACTGAATTGATCGCAAATTCCATAGGAACTTCTGAAGATTGGTGCGGGTGTGAGGCTATCCAATCCAAGCCATGCTCGCACGAAGTAACACAGCTGCTACTAGTGTTTGCGCTCGGCTGCCGGTTTTCCGCTGGGCAGCAAGGTAGCCATCAGGGCAGTAAGTCGACCGCCTACCCTTGTGTTAGAACACATGTTAGAGAACTGTGAGTAGAATATGGCTGACGATAGGAGAAAACCAAATTGTCCGAGAGATGAGAGATGCCGTTTAGATGGCGGAAGGTGGGATCACACGAAGTAAAGGAACCAACTTGCCCATTGCAAGCGTCAGAAACACCGTCGAAGAGAGTCTGTTCTTAACGCGTGTGTGTAGACTCATTTACATGGTTGAAAATAAGCGGGCCATGTGTTCATTTGTCTCAGCAGTGGCTCCATAGATCGCCAGACTTGAGGACGGAAGCTCTGTTTTCTCACCAGAGTTGGATGAAGAGGACGTAGAGGTGCAACTCACCATCTATGCCCTTCCAAAAGCTTTTCTCCTCCCCACATTGTGCAGTGGCTTCCACGTTTCCGTTGCGTGGAGGTCAAGCGAGATTAGCTTTGAGAGTGAAGGAATTGCGTTGCACGAGAAAGGCGCCTATAGCTTCTACCTCGGGTCTCGCAGCTTGGGCTGGGCCCGGCGGGAAGAGGTAGAAGCGCTTGCCCAGCTCTGGCTCAACGAGCCAGGTTTGTTCGGCGAATATGATTTGGAGGACAGCAATTGCCAGCATTTTGCGGCAATGTTTGTCAGACGAGACTTGGCGTAGAACCCAAAGCTGTTTCTTTGTTCTGCACCCCAGAAGAAACTTGCCTCCTGTTGTTTTTGGGCCCAATGCCCCGTGCCAAAGGATTGAATTTGGACTACCCAGAGTCATGCGCCCGGGGCTCTGCTTTGCTCCGCGCCTTGGACCTTCAATATCCTCGAGATGTATGCCCATGTTTGCAAGAAGTATTCGTTAAACCGATTCGAGCTTTAAACTTTGAGACAAAGGCTCCCTAGCCTATAATATGTGTTTTTTTGTCGGAGGCAACGTTCCCCCAAAGTTGGAAGCGCAACCTTGGCAAGCCAGAGCCGAAGTTTCAAAAAACAGCAAGGCTATACAAGGCTGCCCATTGACTTGTGAACGCGTTCTTTTTGCATGGGTGTGTTTGCGATGAACGCGGAGTGTGCTCGATGGAAAAAAACAAACTTTCTGCAACTTAGTCAAAGCCAACCTATACTTGCGGTCTACGTATCTTCAACTTAAAGTTTATGTAGATATATCGACCGGCAAGTAGTTTTCAAGGCACTTGTAATTAAGCAGGAAAAAGTAGAAACGGCTTTCAGGCTTTCAAAGTTCTTCGATTTTGGCAACTGCATTTAGCTTGATTTAGAAAACATGGGTTTCTGCAACTTGTGCAAAGGAAACCAACTTAAAGTGAACTCGCAGAAGCATTGTTATCTGGGTGCTGGTTTCAATAAGGGTTTAATAAGGCATCTAATTATTTGGAAAAATCTTGCATTTTAAAGCTTTAACACAAATATTGCTTTCTAAAGTAAAGGGACCAGCTTTACCCAAAGAAAGGTGGAGAAAGGGTTTTGTTTGTTTTTTTTCACTCCCAACAATTGGTGCTCACAATAGAGTACCATCCAAACAATTATATTATTGAGCAAGTGAGCCAACCATGAGGTACCCCCTTGAAAAATTGCCTGGGTGCTGTTTTTAAATAAGGGTTTCATAAGGCATTTAACTATTTGGAAAACCTTGCGTTTTAAAGCTTTAACACAAATATGGCTGTCTGAAGTAAAGGGACCAGGTTTACCCAAAGAAAGGTGGAGAAAGGGTTTTGTTGTTTTTTTAACTTCCAAAATTTGGTGCTCACAATTCAGTACCATCCAACCAATTATATTTTTGAGTAACTGAGCCAATCATTTTTTTTCAGGAACCTAATTATTTGGAAAACTTTGCACTTTAAAAACACAAATATGGCTTTCTAAAGTAAAGGGACCTGCTTTACCCAAAGAAAGGTGGAAACATGTTTTTTTCAACACCAAAAGTTGGTGCTCACAATAGAGTACCATCCTAACAATTATATTATTGAGTAACTGAGCCACTCATGAGGTACACCCTTGAAAAATTGTCTGGGTGCTGTTTTTTAAAAAGGGTTTAATAAGGCATCTAACTATTTGGAAAACCTTGCATTCAAAAGCTTTAACACAAATATTGTTTTCTACAGTAAAGGGACCAGCTTTACCCAAAGAAAGGTGGAGACAGGGTTTTGTTTCTTTTTCAACGCCAAAAGTCGGTGCTCACAATAGAGTACCATCCAAACAAATATATTATTGAGTAACTGAGCCACTCATGAGGTATCCCCTTGAAAAATTGTCTGGGTGCTGTTTTTTAAAAAGTGTTTAATCAGGCATCTAACTATTTGGAAAACCTTGCATTTAAAAGCGTTAACACAAATATTGCTTTCTACAGTAAAGGGACCAGCTTTACCCAAAGAAAGGTGGAGACATGTTTTTTGTTGCTTTTCACTCCCAAAAATTGGTGCTCACAATAGAGTACCATCCAAACTATTTTATTATTGAATAACTGAGCCAATCATGAGGTACCCCCTTGAAAAATTGTCTGGGTGCTGTTTTGTAATAAGGGTTTAATATGGCACCTAATTATTTGGAAAACCTTGCATTTTAAATTAAAGTTTTAACACAAATATGGCTTTCTAAAGTAAAGGGACCGGCTTTACCCAAAGAAAGGTGGAGAAAGGGTTTTGTGTTTTTTAACTCCCAAAAGTGGGTGCTCACAATAGAGTACCATCCAAACAATTATATTATTGAGTAACTGAGCCACTAATAGGGTAATATATTAATGAAAAAGAATCCATTAAAAATAAATTTAAGAAAGGGCGCAATGAAAAAATGAAACAATAGTAAATTAAAATCAAACAAAAATAGAAAAAAGTAAAATCAAAATAATAAAAGAAAATAAAAATAGATAAAATAAACATAGTTAATATTAAAACTAAAATAAATAAAAAAATAGAAATAAGCAATAAAGCATTTGGAAAAAATAAAACAAAATGAAAAAAAACTGGAAAAATCTCACAATAGAGGCTCGCCCCCACAAACAGCATGATACTGAATTAGGAGCAAGAAAAATCTCACAATAAGGTACCAGGTTTCTAATCAGAGGCAAACATTATATATTATATATATATAGAACAACAATTATCACTGCCCATCTGGATAAATGATAATGACCTCTTGCCGTGACATCACTGGAATGATGGTTACGATTGGGGAATCATCCCCTAATGGCCGTATAATAACATTTATTTTCAGGTTAGTGAATTAATTTAATTCATTTATATATAGATATATATTATGTATATGTAGTAACTAAGTTGGTTTATTACTAGACTAAGTAGGGTTTGTGGTAGATCTATTGTGGTAAACTCTAAACCCCAAAGCCTATCGGATCGCAAATCTATCTGGGGCCACCACCGATCAAAGCATCCTTTAGCTCTTGAAGGATCATCACACGGATCGCAACTGCTTTGAAACATCTGGGTAAATTATGTTGCAACCTCACTGTGACCGAGCCCTGCAATTATGGTTAATAGCGGGAATAATCCCCATTGAGGTGGCCGCAAGATTCAGGTGAACGTGAAACGCATGGTGATTCCAAATCCCCATTCGTGGTGCAGTACCCCCGGAAGGCAAAACCTGGTTGACGAAACATTCGGGGGCTGTGTTCCTTTTAAAGTGATTTCATGTAGTACTTGGGAGGTAGCCTCCCAATATGTCCAGGAGACCAGGGGAGAATCAAATCTAGGGTTGACATTATCATGTTCATAAAGCAGTAACAAGCTACTCATATTTTGATGCATACCACCCATCAAAGTTGGTAAAATGCGGGATGGTGGATGCTTTACCAACACGTTTTAGAGTTGTTTCTTGATTTCAATGTCCAGTGGCAAGTACTGGCAGCTAAACGTTTGGTGGCTCATGGCGGCTACCAGGATGATGGAGAGTCTGAAGAATCTGAAGATGATGATGACGAGGACGCAGCTGGTTGAGTCTCATGAGTCACGTGCGCTCGGCAATGCTGGGCATGGTGGTTTCGCCATCATGTCGGGCTTTCTTTTTAGTGATGCCCAGTCGTCACCATAGGTTCAATACTAATTAAGGTGTTTCAATGACTTGGATGATGAAAATCGCCATAATTACAAGAGGATATCTCCTCTTCATCACCCAACTTTGAAGGCTGATTATGTGTGTTTGCCACTGCCGGCTCCGTTCCCATGGCCATAATCAAGTACTGGGTGTGCTCTTATGAGGTGAAACCTTAACTACTGTAATTATGTTGATAGATCAACCACTGATCTTTAGGTATCACTACAACAATTCTATTCTTATTGGTTAACTGCACAAAACACATACAAACACATCACCATGTTGCCTGATTCAATCACTCATGTATATTGCTAGTAGATATCCAGGGTCCATTACTGACCTGACACAAGCCTTGCACAGACCTGGTGGTCAATAGTTTAGAGATAATGACAAACAAATGCGTTTGTTCTCGTTTACTAAGACTAACAAAATGTATCGCATTTAGTAATATCACCATACATGTATGTATATACAAATAATTATCAACACTTGAAACAATTATCAATCTTTTATGTAGTTGCATCTATCATTCTTGTCATGTTCGGTAGAAGAGTTGATTATATGCCATGGTAAAAAAAGTTGGATGATATACTCATCGTGTGGGATGGTCATCAACCCATTTACAGGAATATATCCATCATGTTTGGATTCCCATGGGCTAGATTACCATACCCCATATACAATGTTTTGACAATGGCACTTTGATGGTTATAATGATTGGGTGAAGCCACTTATCGATTATAACGACTATCCATTATACAAAGCTATCACTTACTATACGTATAACGATTATGTTTAATCAATAATGCCAGCATGATGCCAATATGACCATTGCATTTAAAAACACTGGTATTCCATATTGTTATGTCATCTAACAGCTATATATATATATAATTAGGAATGGCATTATGATGCTGACAATAGTGTTAATTATTCAGAATTCAGCAAAACACTCCAACATTCATAATACTATCATGATGATACTGACTAGCAACAAAATTGTTAGTTACTATACACATAGTTGTATATTGTATACGTATTATGATACTTTAGATACTGGATGTTATTACTGTAATAATTATTAGCATCACAATGATCATTATAGTATAATTTATAATAACAATCATATTCATAATATACTGTTATCATGATATTCTGATTTTGATCAAATCATTTTGACAGTCATACGATATCACTATTTACATATTTGTATAGTCATTTTCATAAAATAACAATATTGTACTAATAGAATATATTTTATCATTTTTATGATTATTGGTATAATACACTGATACTACGTATATTTATTATGACCATAGGTATGGACTATGTTTTATCATCATTGTGATACTGACCAATGTAACATTATATTTATGATGACACATTCAAACTTACGTATATATGTACGATCTATTAAGATGGTAATAATATTATGATGGTAATCATCATTCTAATATATTCAATTATAATGACAATACAATTATATAATTAATTATGTACTATATTGGAATAATACATTAATTATTCAAATTATATAATTTCTATTTCTACATCCTGCCGTCCAGGAGGATGATGAACCCATGCTCCCCTCTGAGCTGCCAGATGGCACCCCGCTGCCCGCCTCATCATCCTCGCCGCCGCCAGGGCGCCGAAGATGGGGGCCGAAAATGGTGAGTTTAACGGGAAAAATGCGGAAACCAGGGTGAGTTAACCAGCAGACATGTAGGAAGCATCAGAACACGTTGAAAGATGTAGGAAAATTGATTAACATTGTGATTGAGTCAGCCAAAAAATCTAAGGACATCAAGATCTAGCCATCAAACATATGGGAACATGGATGAAAATGTTGCTTTGATCAGCAAAATTGATGAGCTCACCTGCAAACATGATGATTTCATCACTCAGAATTCATTCAGAATTGGATTTCACTACCAAAATTCAAGAGTTTAGCATAGATTTCATCCCACGTTTTAGCGAAGCACACACACACACACTTATGGCCCAACTAACAGTTGTAAATGGAAATATAACTCCTATAATTCAGGTTATCATGACATAAACCCATAATTTTTATTGAATTTTTAACTGTTGGGCCATAACTGCATGGCATTGCATGAAATCACCATGCTTTACCGATCTTCGCCACCCAGATTGACCATCACAGGCCACCCGAGCCTCCTGGGCCGCCCGGGCTGCCGCCGCTGCCCCCCGGGCCGCCGCCCTTGACGTCCTTGCCGCCGATGCCACCAGGAGCCACGGGCGGACACCGGAAGATGTCGGAAGTTTTTGGTGGGAAAATCCATGGAAAAATCATCTACAAATGGGGGATGATGGTGATTTTATACAATGTGAGGCCCCCCAGTTGTGTTTGTTGGTTTATAATCCCCATTAACTATAGATATAACCCCCCAATCAACCCTAATTATTGGAGTTATAAACCAACTTAGCTATCTTGGGGGCCTCACATTGCAGTGGTTTTAACCAAACATGTTGACTTAAGTCCGGACTTTATAGAGGTTTTAACATGTTTTAACCATCAATTGTTTTTTTTAATGTTATGACATAGTGGTGCTTAATGGGGTCTAATATAGATCATGGATAATAACCCCATATTTGGAATGGGATTTATTATGGGGTTATATGGATACAAACATGGCTATATGGGGCTTATTTGATATGGATTACACCTATAAATAAATATAGTGGGATAGGGATATATGATTATAATATGTTACAATATGGTGGTACTGGGTTGGTTAATGGGTTTAAGGGGATATAATTGGATTTAAATGAACCATTAAGAATATCCTTGTTGAACTGGCATGAAGCGAGTAAGTGTGAAGCAATTATATACTCTATTTGTGTTGTCAGAGGGATCTCCTGCCTTGGAAAAAGCGGAAACAACTCAACTACTGTACCTTCTCTGTTTTTTGACCATGGTTGGGCACAACTCTGCTCTCAAGATCTTTCAATGAGCTGGTGCAGAAAACCATGGGTATTTACAAGCAAATGCTGGCTAAGCCTTGTTTGTAGCTTTCAGCTCGGTCATGTGCTATTTGTTTCAGCTATGCGTGCATGAATAGTTTCCATAGAATGCCTTTTCATATTTCCTGAAGGGTATCGAGTAGCCCGGCCCCAAATGTTGTAAGTTGTTTGTGTAACCTCATCTAGCTATAGATGTATCCCGCTAACCAATCCAATAGCTATTTCTTGGTGATTTCCAACAAACAGTTCTCATAAAACAGCCATAAATCTCAATTTGTTTGAGTTCCTCTTTATGTTTGCTGGTTAAAAGACCTTTTCTCAATGTTATCCCCTTATTTATGTCCCATGAAATCCCATTAGACCACCATATTGAACCACCATTAAATACCGTTCTGAGTTACCCCTCCATGTTTCCGTGGTGTTTGGATGGGCTAAATCACCGTTTCCATAGTTTTTTAATCATCAATTTCCACCATTAAATCGTGAATTTCCCTACTAGAATCCGTAGATTCCCATTATGGTTCCATTAAATCCCATAACTTTGGTGGGTTAAATCACCACAACTCACCATTGATGCAACGGGCGCCTCACGGGGCGCGGGCAACGGGCAGGACCACCACCTGGTTGTGGCGGCGGCATGTCCGGCCTGTTTGCATGAGCAGGGGTCAAAACGGGAGGATTTTTTGTGCATATGTCATGTAGTATATATATATATATGTTACAATATTATATTGTGATTAATGTAATATAGTATAATTTTATATTATTATAAAATATTATATATATATAATATATACATATTTAATGTATACATATTTATTCCCCACCTGCCAGGTGAGGGTTGTTAGATTTTATGTCAGTTGCCTCCTCCTCCTCCTCCTTCTCCTCCTTCTCCTCCTCCTTCTCCTCCTCCTCCTCCTCCGCCTCCTCCTGCCTCGTCCTCCTCTCCTCCTCCTCCTCGTCCTCCTCGTCGTCCTCGTCGTCCTCGTCGTCCTCGTCGTCCTCGTCGTCCTTGCTCAACTGCGACCCGCGATCCACAGTGTTCTCTGCCGGACCTCAACCACGATCATCCACGCCCAGTGTTCCCTGCCGGACCTCAACCACGACCATCCACGCCCAATGTTCCCTGCCGGACCTCAACCACGACCATCCTCGCCCAGTGTTCCCTGCCGGACCTCAACCACGACCATCCACGCCCAGTGTTCCCTGCCGGACCTCAACCGCGAGTATTCACGCCAAGTGTTCCCTGCCGGACCTCATGTAGGAAGATATGGGACAAAGAATGTGCAGAAGAAAGTTAGAAAGAATGTCAGAAAGAATGTCAGAAGATATGCCAGAAGATATGCCAGAAGATATGCCAGATAGAATGCCAGATAATATGCCAGAAGATATGCCAGATAGAATGCCAGATAGAATGCCAGAAGATTTGCCAGATAGAATGCCAGAAAATATGCCAGAAGATATGCCAGATAGATATGTCAGAAGATATGCCAGAAGATATGCCAGAAGATATGCCAGAAGATATGTCAGAATATATGCCAGAAGATATGTCAGATAGAATGCCAGAAGATATGTCAGAATATATGCCAGAAGATATGCCAGATAGAATGCCAGAAGATATGTCAGATAGAGTGCCAGAAGATATGCCAGATAGAATGCCAGAAGATTTGCCAGATAGAATGCCAGAAGATATGCCAGAAGATATGCCAGATCATATGCCAGAAGATATGCCAGATAGAATGTCAAATAGAATGTCAGAAGATATGTCAGATAGAATGCCAGAAGATTTGCCAGTAACAAAATGTATAAATGTCATGGTGGGGATCACACGAAGTAAAGTAATTTAATGTATACATATTTTATATATACATGTAATATTTATCTATACACATTTATAATTATATATATATATATATACTCTATATACTGTATCTATATCTGTATATTGCACATGGGATCTAAATACAAAGGTCGTTCGACTTTACAGCGGGGTATCATCCCGGAACGGGATTGTGGCATTGGGTGGGGCTCCCCAAACCTTATGTTTGTGTATATATCCCACATGAATATAGTATTATATAGCTATATTTACTATATAGCCTAATCTATTAAGATATAGCAAAATTATTGGACTTATAATAGATGGACTTATGTTCACCAACTAGTCCAATAGTTAATTATCTATAGTCCATCATAGTTTATGATCTATAATTATCTATAGTTGGTTCACCAGATAAGTGAACACTAATTGTCCAGTGGTTATAGTTCATCAATGGATATGGATACTATAACTGATGGTTAATTATCCACAATAGTGAACACTAATAGTTAATTATCTATAGTCCATCATAATTAATCATCTTTAATTATCTATAGTTGGTTAACCAATCATTATCTAGTTAATTATCTATAGTTAATTATTTATAATTATCTATAGTTGGTTCACCAATAATTATCTGGTTAATTATCTCTATTTAATTATCTATGATTATCTATAGTTGGTTCACCAATAATTATCTAGTTAATTATCTATAGTTAATTATCTATAATTATCTATATTGATAATATATCATTATTATATGTCATATTATAGCATTATCTATATTGCTAACCTATAGTTATCTATAGTTATATACCAGAATACCATAATGTACCATAATTCTTGGACTTATGTTCACCAACAAACCGCTATCAATCGGGGACCCGAAACCTTGTCATCAGAAGGGGTCATCCATGGTCAGCAGTGGCACGTTCTGACCGTGCGGATACCCGCGTTGCGGGTGGAAACCATAGGAAAACCATGGGAAAACCATATGAAAACCATAGGCAAATATAGGTAAATCAGCTATAAACTGGGAAAACCATATCTAGGTCAATCTTGGATGGGTAGAAACTAATCCTTTAGTTTTTTGGTATCAATGGGATTATCTACTAACCAGCTAAGTGTTTTTTTGCAGGGTATCTAAGATTGGCCATGATCAATTTGGACTGTTAACACATGATAAACTTTGGTAATTAATGGGATATGAATATGAATCGAAAATTGTACCCAACTTGCAATAATATTTGGGTCTGTCTGAAAATGGGCACACCCCCAGATGGCAAGTTTCATAGGCAAAATGAGGATGCATTTTTCAGATTAGGGATGTCCTATTTCCAGACAAAGCATTTGGACAAAAGCACTTTTGATGGCCACCGCCTTTATCTTAGGGCTTGGCAACAAAGAACGAATAGCTACACAGCACCCTGGGGGGTGCAGTTCGGGTTTTGAATGGCCATAGTCACGAGGGTAGGAAAAAAAATGAGGTTCAATGGCCATTTCAGGAACCTAAATTGGAGGTACCTACCATATGTAAGGCCTATTTTTCAGGCCTATTCTTCAGGCCTAAGGGAATATCCCCACAATTCATATGGCCAGAAATATGGTACGTTGAGGTAGTTCCACTGATCCTGAAATTTATTCCCCTTGAGACGTGGTAAATTTTTGCGGCTGCGATTGAAAAGGTGTGATGGTTTTTATTGGTATCGATGGGAAAATCACCATTTTTTATTGGTAAATCAACTATAATTGCAATTTTAATGGGATAACTGCTGGTTGGTGGTTTGGAACATGACTTTTATGACTTTCCATTTCATATATGGGAATGTCATCATCCGAAAGTGATTCATATTTTTCAGAAGGGTAGGTTGAAACCACCAACCAGAAATTCTCAGGAACCCCATCAATTTGGCTCGAAAATATCCATGCGGATGATTTCGCAGCCATTTTGGCCCCCGGATTGGCCGCGGCGATGGAGCCTGGAGCGTTGCTGCAGGGTTTTCGCCTGGGATCTGTGGTGGAGGCATGGTGGTTTTTGCGCTTCCTGGGGAATCCCCAAGTCGTCACCCTGGTTGTTTCAATGCGGCATAGGTTTGGTCCTTCATGACTTGGTTTGGGGGTACCCCCGTGGAGTGGAAACCTCCATTTGAATGATATTATTGCGATAACATGGGTGAAAATGGAAAAATAGGATATTGATATACTAGTGGGAGAATCATGAATAATTGTGGGATAAGTGGAATAGTCACCATCCCCAATAGAGGTTTACAAAACTGGATATGCCCCGTTTTTTTGGGAACTATTTCAAGTCACCCTCTGTCATAGTTGTTCAATGGTATTGTCTATGGAATAGGGTAAACATCACATTATTTGAATACCATCTGGTTATTTAACATAGCCATGGGAAATCACAATTTTTAATAGGTAAACCATCTATAAATGGGCCATGTTCCATGGCTATGTTAAATAACCAGACGGTAGGGTAAACAGCACATTATTTGGAAGACCAGGCCACTTAGAAACTAATAGCTTAGTAGGAAGTGCTTGGCAAGTTGGGTGGTACCCGAGTTATAAACGGGATAGCCTATGCGGGGGACTTGTGATCACCAGGGTTATGATTCAGTTTCTAAGAGCAATGATCGCCCAAGTAAGGAGCGATGTAGGATCAATGAAAAGCTAATGAGGGGGTTGAACAAGCAAGATGATGAACAATGAACAGTTGAGAAACGATGGTGGACTAGTACGGCAAGTGACAATTTCGACACAATTTTACCGTAGACATTATCAACACAAATTCAGACAATAGATGATTGAATATACATGAGAAGACCAGAATAAAGTTGGACAACGGAGGTTTCCTAAAATGGGGGGTACCCCCAAATCATCCATTTATAGATTGATTTTCCATTACAAACCATCCACTTTTGAGGATCCCCCATCTATGGAAACCTCCAAACAAATGGGGGTACCCCCAAATCATCGAAAATTTGACAGTTTTAGTATTGAAACCCATGGTTTTTGGGGATCCCCCATTTTAAGAAGCCCCCAAATAGTCATGATTCAAACCCTACCCTCTGGTTATTTAACATAGCCATGGAAAATGGCCCATTTATAGATGGTTTACCTATTAAAAATGGTGATTTTCCATGGCTATGTTAAATTACCAGATGGTATATATTCCAAATAGTCATGATTCAAACCCTATATATTTTGGTGAACATAAACAGAACATAATACAACTGGCAAATGGGTATAATCCCAGCATTCATTTAGTATCATAGGTATGAGATGGATCTATGTCAGTGCCAATGAAACATCATTGGTTAATGCCAAACATGAACAGAAAGATTCAAACCTCACAATGTGGGGCCCCCAGTCGATAGCGTTCAGTTGCCTTATAAGTGGCTGAATGCTATGATATATGGGAGATATCACTATATCATGGGGTTTATAAACCATTTTCCCATATTTCCCATAGATTTTCTATAGATTCCCCATGTGAATGGGGGGTGAAACTAAACCAACATTCACATCACGGAAATGGGGGCACGATCCAACGTAGGACGTTGGTTTTATGTTGGTTCCATAGACCCAGTTCATCACCAGTTCACTCGGTTCCCCATGGGCTGGATAGGTTTTGGAAGAATAAACCGGCTGTGTTTCTGTAGATTAAAAACATCTGGAAACATGTTGAATTAGCTTTAACTATGGTATAAACATCTTGAAAAACCAACACCCTTTGTTGCTTAGAACATCATGCCACAACATTGAAACATCTATAAGCAGCTTACAAGGTGGTGCCCCCCCAGTTATAAGTTGGTTTATAATCCCCATTAACTATAGATATAACCCCATAAACCCTGGTTATTGGACTTATAAACCAACTTAGCTAACGAACTGGGGCACCACCTTGTAGAACATCTTGAAACATCTATAATGAGCCCCGCTTTTGTCAGGTTGATGGTGCGCCAGAGCTGAACGATCGAATCGGGCAGCTGGTGTGGCTCGACGCGAAACAAAGGTGATTTAACCCATGAAAAAATAGGGAACGCGGAGGTTTAACTCAGGAATTTCGGGACTAGGACTTATAACTGAACTCTAGTATAACTAGATGTAGATGATGATCATAGATATGTTTAGATGTAGGTGATTATAGATATGGTATGTTTGCCTACTACTAATTATAGATATGGTATGTATGATTATAGATATGGTAGATTAGACAAATAGATATAGATATGTAGGTGATTATAGACCATCATTATACACTTATATGATTATAGATATGTAGATATGTAGGTTTTTACTAACATCATTATACACTTATGGTTTTGCAGATGATTATAGATATGGTATGTTTGTATATTAAATCACCATGTGTATAATCACCTACAATGTTTTCTTTCGATCATGTTTAGATAAAACAAATGCAGATGATTATCATATATATATATATATTTAGATTTATATAGATATGTAGCTGATTATAGACGATAATTATAATATACACTTATATGATTATAGATATGTAGATAGATTTATCAAACAATAATCCTATACTATAATCCTTGAAGCCCGCGACCGACCAGCGACCAGCGAGGTCCTTCTCTGAGAAGGAGGATACCTTTAGCGTGGCCTTGATCAATGGCTCCACACGGCAGGTGGGGCTTACATTTTAGGGGGGATATAGATATAGATAGATATATATATATAGTATATTATATATAGTATATGAATTATTGTTATATGAAATAACTGATGAATATATGGTAGATAGTACTGTATATATATATATATTGATAATTATATATCAATGATATATACTATTATTAATAGTGAAATAATGACATTTATTGGTGGGACCCAACATATTTAACTGGTAAAAAAACGATCCAGTCTTCTATCTGGCTGGTTGTTTGGAACATGAATTTTCTGATTTTCCATATATTGGGAACAATAATCCTAACTGACTTTCATATTTTTCAGAGGGGTTGAAACCACCAACCAGATAGTATATAAATTATTAATATGTGAAATAATTGATGAATATATAGTAGATAGTACTGTATATAGTAAAACATCTATGAATAATTAGGTGCAATAATAATTGATCACCAAATCATCATCACTTCAGCGGGGATTGAACCATCAATGGCAATTGTGATTGAACCAACAAAATTGAGGGGTATGATACCAACCTGAATGGGAATATCATGGGAATATCATGGGATAGATTAGGATACTGCAACCCCTTCCCAATGGTGACCCCTCAATGACAGATGTGTTCAGATTTGCCCGATTTGGCGTCAGCTTTTGGGGGGTTGCTTGAATCCGCAGGGTCGAATCCATAAAAAGTGATCCAGTGTTCTATAACGTTGGTGGTGTGGAACATGAATTTTATGACTTTCCATGTATTGGGAATAATAATCCCAACTGACTTTCATATTTTTCAGAGGGGTAGGTATACCACCAACCAGCTATTAACCTCTGGTCATCAAAGGTGGCTGGAAAATCACTCTAAAGTGGAGGCTTCTAGCTTGGACGAACATCGAACTACGGGGGGACATTTCCAGCCACCGTTGATTACCGGAAGGGAAACCTCATTCATGTTCTCACAATTGCTAGGTTGGGGTAGTTATCCGTCCTCATTTTGAAACAGCCCAACATGTTGTTCACATGTTTTTTTTTGTGAATATCATCTGAAATTTCAGCATTCTTGTGAGTCAAATCTTGTATGCACTTGGTGAACATGCTTAAATTCGTTAACTAACATTTCAGGGAAAATAGTTTTCAATTAAAAATCGTGTAACAGTTGCTTCAAAAGTGTTTTTGTTGCTCCTTCAATTCACATTTTTTGCTCGTCAAATCTTGGTCAATGCCAGCACCGGCCTGGTCCTTCCAGGAATTTCGCCGAATCCAAGGGTTTGGTGGTAACCAAATAAACCAAGGTGTCTCTGGAAATAGGGTATGTATATATATATATATATATGGTGCCCCCCCCATGATCTACCTAGAAGCATTTTATATGGAAATTACATGAAAATCCCATATATATATATATACAAGGTGGTGCCCCAGTTCGTTAGCTAAGTTGGTGCCAATAAGTCCAATAACTGTTGGGTTGATTAGGGGGTTATATCTATAGTATTCATGGGGATTATAAACCAACTTATAACTGGGGGGCACCACCTTGTATATATCTGGTTGGTGGTTTGGAACCATGGAATTTTATGACTTTCCATTCAGAAAAGGGAATTTCATCATCCCAACTGACGAACTCCATCATTTTTCAGAGGGGTAGGTGTACCACCATATATCTAGGTCAATCTTACATGGATACTTTAATCCTTTAGTCTTTTGGTATCAATGGGAATATCTACGTTCACCAGCAAAGAATTTATTTTTTTGCAGGGTATCTAAGATTGGCAATGATATATATATATATATATGTATATCCCCAAATGGTATTTTTTAGAGGTGAATATCATGATCAATCAACTTCCGGGGATAGGTATTCGCCCGGGCCAGCCCGAAGGCTTCGCCAAATCCTTCATGACTTCGGAAACAAATTATGCAAGACTACTACTGGGAAAAAATGTCTAGGAATTACTGTACACTGTATACTAACCCCAGATAAAGCAATCCTTTCCAATATCTGTCAGAAAATATTTCCTTCGCAAGTTCCATAACATATGTGTATGTATATGTATATATATAATATAGGGCCTGGGGACTGTGTTTCCCAAAAATGGTCCTTGGGTAAAGACCATTTCAAAAATGCTTCTGAACAGGGTACATAGAGTTCTGTAGATCTATACAGATTAGATCAGATTAGTTCTTTTCATTAGTTTCATTAGTTTTTGTTTAGGAGATACGTTTTAAACTACAATGTGAGGCCCCCCAGTTATAAGTTGGTTATAAGCCCCAGTAACTATAGCTATAAGTGCCATAAACCATAGTTATTGGAGTTATAAACCAACTTAGCTATCTTGGGGGCCTCACATTGCATCAGTTTTTAGATTTGCCCTTTTGGCGCAGGTGAAGGCTTCGCAGTTGCGCTCGGCCAACCATAGCTTCGATGTCTTGGTGGGACCAAGGTGGAAATCGGTGATCGCTATGTTTCGTCGCCAACATAGTGATTTTGAACGCTGGAGTTGATATTCTATTCTTGAATCTCACCATTATGTTCCTAGTATATTCCAGTGTTATAACTTATATCATGGATATATGGGTTTGAAATATACCCCTTTTGCTAATGGATTATTTAAATTGCTACATGGAAGATACACCCCATTTTCCGACAAACCATATGACCACATAAGAGTTGGGATTTCAGCACCCAAAAGTCAAAGAAACGTATGGAATCTTCAGTTGGTATGGGCGTATAGTGATGTAACCAGATGGTTTAATCAAATTTTATATTGACTGCAATTTTGCCATTTACACACTCAAATATGCGAATCAACAAAGAGAAACAACAAATATACCCAAAACGTATGTTTGGCTTAGTAATATCCCCAAGATATCTTTGGTTAATATATCTCATAACATGTTTAGTTTCTGTAATATGTTTGGTTGAAATATCCGATATATATATACACATATATATATACACACACCCCTTGTCCTGAATGGATTATAATGACCTCACGTTGTGACATCACTGGAATGATGGTTTGGATTGGGGGAATCATACCCGGGCCGCAAGTTTCATCTTGATGATATATTGTAGTTCAGCCAGTTAATATCATGGATATGTTTGGATGATATCACATGGATAATATTTTCAAGATATACCCTTGTGAGTTTGGAATAGGCCAAAACAGGGGTTAACATAAATAGTGTATTTTATGATTTCATCATGATTTCATTACGATTTCACTATTTTTTTTTTGTTGATGATTGTTTTAGGGGCCAGATTTTGTTGATGTTGTTTTAATGATTTTATGTGTGTTTTTTAATGTTTTTTTGTCTGTCTTAATGATTGGTTTTATGTTATTTTGTTTGTTTTACATTTTTGGGTATTGTGTGTGGTGTTTTTTTTTTGTATTTGTTGTTCATTGTGTTTGCATTTGAATTTATTGTTTATATAAAAAATGAAACAACATACAGGCACATTCCAAACAAAAACATTAAAACACATATTAAAAAAAAAAAAACTATATATATATATATATTCAACATTTATGAAAAGTTTATGATTTTGTTTAAAAGGAATGTGTGTTCATTAAAAAAAAAAATGTTCATACATTTTATGAAAACATATGATGGTTTATTATTTTTTTAAGATTGTTTTTTTTGCCATGTTTTTTTCCAGCATTTACAAAAAACATTACACAAAGGGATTTCCAAAAATGGGACAACACATACCAAAATCATAAACAACAACAAAAAAAAAATAAAACGCAAAACAGAAAAAAAAAAAAAACAATCATAGAATTTATGAACAATGTGTACACACATGGTTCTTGTTTTTTTTTAAAATACATTTTATGTACATGTTATGGTTTTTATCTTAATATATATATATATAATTATATAATTGTGTCATACAGTTGATATGAAACTTATATACAATTTACCAAACAAATACAAACACAACACAACAAAAAATACCAAACAAATGTAGAACAAAAATAAAATATTCAAAAACAAAAACATAACACAATTATTAACAAAAAACACAAAACAAATGAAATGAAATCAAACAATATCATAAAACATCATATTCAAAATGTAGTTAATTGGTAAAGCAAAAATGGACGCATAAAAAAAAAAAAAACATTAAAAAAAAATGAACTCATAAGAAAAAAACAACTAAAAACAAACGCACAATAAATTATTCCTTCAGTTTTGTTTTTGGCCTAAGTTTTATCTCACAAATATACCCATCATATCTTGTTGGTTTAACCTCCATACAAGGTCTGGGCCCCTTTCCCTTTATGTTTGTTTGTTTTTATAAACCCCATGAATACTATAGTTGTAAGTATTCAAACCATAGTAATTCAGGTTATGTTCACCAACATAGCCATCATAAAATCAGCCACCACAATCCCACGGTTATTTTTCTGAGTACTGTAAAACCATGTAAAACCTCATAATTTTCTCCTTTTTTCTGCTTTCAATCTTCATTTTCCAGATGTTTTCCATGGTTTTGTTCATCACCAGAACCCACGATGCCTTCACGATCCTGCCACGTTGCCCCTGCCAGGCACAACCAAGATTTCTTGGCCGAGGAGGTGCACACATGGCTTGAAAAACATAGGAAACATCCAGAAACAACTGGATGGGTAGTTGAAGTAATCCCTTAGTTTTTTACTAGTGGAAATATAAGAAAATAAACAGCAAAAAAATATTTTTTTGTGTGAACTACCAAAGATTGACCATGGCTTATGCAGAAAATCATGGGAAAAAGTAGGAAAAACCATGGGAAAATTCACGAACTAGCCATGGAGGTTTCTGGGACAATCCTACGAAGTAGCCATGGATGATGAATTCCGGCACGCCATGTGACTGACTACCAGTACAATGAGGATATGTCATGGCTTTAACACTTTACTGGTTGGTGGTTTGGAACATTTTTTATTTTTCCATATATTGGGAAGAATCAGCCCAACTGACTAATATTTTTTCAGAGGGGTTCAAACCACCGACCAGTTTAACATGAGTATATATAATGAGAATATGATGCGTGATGGGTGTCTAAAGGGATATTTGACCAACAATATGGGATTAGTGTGTCTAGAAATAGTGGAGTTGCCTCAACAATTCCAATTTTGACAGGGACAAGCTATCTACTAATTAATTTATATCTAATTACAATGGGTTAAACCGTTTGCTGGCTAAATCACCATGTTCCCATTATATCCCCTGATTTGTGTCCCATTAAATCTCATTGGACCATGTTAAACCACCATTCAGCCACCCTTGAATTTTAGATGTCCATAGGGTATCTTCCATTTGAAGCTGGTATTTCCCATAAAATCTCCTGTCTAACTATACCATTCGTGGATTTTCTAGATATTCCATATCGTAAGTATATTATCAAGGAAATCCATTCATAAGTTCATTATTATGGTATCAATAGCCTATTTTCCCTTTTATGTTAAGTCAGTTAAATCTCACTTTTCCCACCATTTTTTGGTGAAATCATAATCGTCCCATATCGATATTGTTTGATGGTGAAATCACCATGTTCCCAGCATTTTCCCAGCATTTTTTGCGAGTGAAATGATCTCCAGGTGGCCAGTTGCCTGCTGGAGAAGGGCTTCTGCGTGATGAAGCTCTGTCAATCTCAGCAGGATGTGGAAGCTGCCGTGACGTCGCTACAGAAACTGGCGGAGACCGGTCGAACCTTGGTGCCACAGAGGGATATAACAGGTATACATAGTTATAAATATATGTATGCACCTCTATGCATAATAAACACATATATATATATTCTGACATATGTATATATATATATATATGCACATTCTGATGCGCTTACATATAACATATGTACATATGGTGCCATACATATATATATATATATAAATAATGTACATAATAGTAAGTGTATGTATGTAGATATATGGAGGTAACTCTAATAATCTAATGTTGGTTGGTTGATGCCATAGCACTTTGTGTATTCCAACAAAAGCCTATGGGGAATCAGCAGACTCTGAGATTTGTTTGTGATGTTCTCGTTAAAATAAGCCCTGCAGTGGTGGTTTGGAACATGAATTTCATGACTTTCCATTTCATATATGGGAATAATCATCCTAATTTACTTTCATATTTTTCAGAGGGGTTGAAACCACCAACCACAGCCTGTTTTGGAGGAAACATCCAAATTGCTCCTTGTCTTGCTGCATAGTAGCAAACTTGCAGCACTTCAGTTCTTTGAATGGAAGTTCAATTTGCCAGGTAAAGTCGATCTTGGAATTCCTGATAGTTTGATGGCATTCTCGAAGTTTACCCCAAGGTTTCTTTATGAAACCCTTCAGCTTTGGTGAGAATTTCTGGAGCCAAGGATTAGAAAGACTACCAGAGGAGGTGGAGGAAGGCAAGTATTCTGGGCCGCACTGGGGCCGCATTTTGAATTATTTCTGGTGACCATGCGACCAAAAAATCCATCAGTGTGAATATATACATAATTATACATATATTATATGTATATAATAATATATATATAGTACTCATATTATATATTATATATATAGCAGTCATATATATATATAAATAAATATAGTACATGACATATTTATATATATATAGATAGATAGATAGATAGATAGATAGATCGATAGATATACAGTAGATATACAGTAGATATGTTCACTTATAGCTGGCACTGCACCTTCAAGTACTGTACGATTCTCGAAGCTGTGAACTCCAAGTCTTGGATCTATGGAATTTCGCAGGGGAACTCTAAGTTCTGACGATTCGAAGCTACAAAGTGGAGCCCTTAGTCTCGTGGTGTTTTTTTTTCACCACATCTAGTTTGATATATCCCAGTTAGTGGTTATATCCCATCTAGTTTAACATAAACCCCAGAGTTAGTGTAGTTTTCACTCTTCACAAATCCCATCTCTCTTTTGGTGAAGTTTTTCCCTTCTGCTTTTCTGGTTAAGTCATCATGGTTAAGCCACCATCAACCCTTGAAACCACGCCGGCTAAAAGGGGGTGCAACCCATTTAGTAAATGGGTGGAATATCCCCAGATATACATGGAATTTCCCAACTTATATCTGGGATGAAATCTAGCTTCTATATGGATTTTTTTAACCACAGATCCGATGCGTGCCCGCACATCCAAGATCATCCCCCCGGTAGTTGCGTCCCATATGAAAAAATCCTATGATTTTAGCCATTCAACCAGCAAGTGCCATAAACATCCACAAGGCCTGTCCCATGATATCCCTACAATGTGAGGCCCCCAAGATAGCTAAGTTGGTTTATAACTCCAATAACTCTGGTTTATGGTACTTATAACATCTTATAACTATAGTTACTGTGGCTTATTTATAAACCAACGTTCGCATCACAGGGGGGCCTCACATTGTAGTTACCCTCCGGTAATTTAACATAGCTATTGAAAATGTCCATTTATAGTGAGTTTTCCCATTAAACATGGTGATTTTCCATAGTTATGTGAGAGTTTACCAGAGGGTATTGTGACCTAAACCTTGGTAACTGATCGGATCCTGTCAGGCTATTTGGGCGAAGGGGCCCGCGCGCGGATGCTCTGGATGGATGAACGACCCAACACACCGCAGGCCGGTGGAGATTTCGAGCCCTGGAACGGATGTTTTATGCCTCTTTTCACGGGAAAACCCATAGGAAAATCATAGAAAATACATAGGAAAATCATGGAAAGTCCATAGTGTCATGGGAATTGATGGAGGTTTAATGGTGATTTTCATGGGATTCAATGGTGATATAACTTGATATAACCATCATAACGCTGCAGTTATGGCTCTGAAAACAGTTATGATTCACTGACTCAAGAAACCTCATTTAAATGATATGGTTCACCAGTTTCAGAAGTTATAATACTATTTATCACTGTTAGGGGCCAGTTTGCCAGTTTCTCCTAGTTTTTAGATGTTTTTAGTACATAAAACAAACATCTCCAAAGAGAGGATTGGACCGCCCATGCTGTCCCTGACATTGTACGCAGGACCAAATCCTGAAAGATAGTGATGAGTTCATCTCAACGATGGCCGTTCTTTTGCAGCCATACTGCCGCGTGGATGCACAGTGAGATCTCCGTATTTTCTTGTTCTGCCAAGTCGTATCCGTTCATATCCAAGTACTGATCATCCTGGGATCTTGAATCTTAGTGACTGTTAGTGTATCTTGATTTGAATTCCCCCATATGCTCCATGTATGGAATATTTACCAACATTTGCCCCAAAAATCACCCAAATGTAGGTAAATATTCCATACATGGAGCATCTGGGTTCCTAAGTCAAACATCAAATCTTGAAGATCGGAGTGATCGGATGTCATTTTTTTCTCATTGGATCTTAGGTGTGTAGCAGGTGGCCCCATGACTTTAGGTAAATCATAAAGGGGGCAATTCTCGCTTAAAGAAACTGGTGAATTTACCAGCTAGCTGGCCCATATTCTCCAAAAGCCACTGAAATTTTGCATTCCCATATTCTCCAATGGTGCTGGAATATTGACCTACATTTACCCCAAAAATAACCGAGTTTTGTAGGTAAATATACCAGCACCAAGGTTCGCATTTGGGATTGGGAATTTCTTGGCCCCTGAAATCCGCGAATCTTCGTGAGGTGAAGATGCGCTGGGCAAGACGGTGGATGCCCGAACGGTTGGGCTCCTAAGCCTGTCCTTAGCGCCTTCGGAAGCTTGGCGCCTTAAGCGTTTTGTCGATGTTTGTCGATGCGCCCATGAATTTCCAATGGGACATCCATAATCTAAGGTTAGTAAAGCCATAAACCACCCATATATTGATAGTTTATAGTGTTAAACCACCCATATATTATATAGTTTATAGCATCAGGTTATGGTTAAATTGGGGATAGTTTATTGCTTTACCAACATGATAGGGAATCTGTAGGGAATATATGGGAATCATTTTGATTTTCTTGGGGTTTTTCTCGCAAATCCAAGGAAGATTTGGCCCCGATGCCCACGGATGACTATTTGTTGGCGAGTTTTTACAACACCTGGCGGCGCAGCCAGTTGAAAATGATGCATTTCTTTGGGCCCGGAGTGGCCAAAGTCACCTTAACTTCGGAGGATGAGGGTGCAGCCCCTGTGCAGATTGAGGTAAGGATGGCGCATCGGCATGGGGATTGGTGCTGATTTACTTAGGGATCTTAGGGGTATACTGACCGGCTGGTTAGATACTTATAGACTTATAGATCCTTTAGGAATGTTGGATACAGATTAGTATCATTTTCACACACTAATCAGTATCCAACATTATACATGTTCATTTTTTGCTATCAATGGTCAAATGTACATTTAGCAGCAAGAAATGATTTTTGTTTGGCTCTAAGATTCACTGTCAATAGACACCTGAGAATCATTAAAAGGCATTTTGATCTGAGTTTTCCCAGGTCGCGGGATGCTTGGAAAAACACCCCGGCAACTAGGAGTGGATCCATATATGACCGCACCATGGGCCGTTGCGTGATGCATAGATCAGCAGCCGTGTCTTCATTGGGTGTTGGACTACACCCAACATCGATGAATCCCCTTCATTTGTTGCTTGTGAATATCTAGGTGATTCTATATAGCTGCTAATATAGCTATGTTTCAAAATTGGCTCATCAAAAACCTTTGCTTTATCAATTTCTCATAGCTGTCCCGGTTTCAGTTTCCGCTACCGCTATGGCTTTTAGCCAGGCCTCTGCCAATAGCGTCGTGATTTTCCGACCCACCATCTATACCCTGGGCTGCCGTAGCGAGCAAGAGACGATGATTCTGTCTGCGGATCTGTTGGAACATATGGATTCGTTGTTTCTGACGGGCAACGAAATCGGTGACTTGGAACCTTGGCTCAACTGGAAACCATGGCTTTTCTTTACCATTCCCATATTAGCTCACCATGGTGCTGGAATATAAAAACCAACATTTGCCCTTGTCCAAAATTGCCCAGCTTTGTAGGTAAATATACCATGCATGGAGCATCCTAAAGAACAGGTACAGCAATGTGCTACCTTTGCCCAAATAAGTGTAGGTGTGCATATACCAGCACCATGGTGAGCTAATCTGGGATTCACAAAATCGGGACTTCGAAGCTTGGCCGGTACCATGGCGCCATTACCATCCACAATTTTCGGTGATAGATTCGAAGGTTACACACAATGTGAGGCCCCCTCAGTTATGTTTGTTAGTTTATAAGCCCCAGTAACTATAGATATAAACCATAGTTATTGGAGTACCATAAACCATAGTTATTGGAGTACCATAAACCATAGTTATAAGATTACTATAGTTATAAGTACCATAAACCGTATAGTTATTGGAGTTATGTTCACCAACTTGCCAACTTAGCTATCTTGGGGGCCTCACATTGCAGAAAAATGGAGACATGGTTCATATGATGCAATTTTCCATGTACGACTTGAATATCATTTATAGATCAGAAATATGAAGCAAAAAAACTGGGTGATACAAATTTGCTAACCAATAGAGATTTAATTATGGGGAATAAAGCCAACCAGAACAGAGATATGATGATGGTGGTTGCATATGTCATGGTACATTTAAATATATGTTTATATACATGTATAGCAATTTCAATGATTAAAGCCGGGATTTTCATGGAATATGATGTCGGTATAACCACCAAGCTGTGAATGAACACGTGTCCAGAAATGGGCTATACTGTATACTGGTATACCCCAAGATACAAGTGGCTATTTGCAAAAATGCAGAGATTGCTCTTTGGACTTGGATTTTTGGGTACCCCCACTTTCAGACGCAGCCATTCATGGATGAATATGGATGGTATGTATTGGTATGTGATGTTTTTGGTGGACAGCTGGGTAACTCTAGATCGGGCAAGTCAATAGATATTTGTAGGTTAGTTTTCTATATTAGGTCTGTTAAAGCTAATATACGTATTTGATATTAGTTGGACATTATAATTGTGATTCATATGATATGTTTCAAATGCTATACGTTCCAAAAACTAAATAAGTTACTTGTGTCAGACTGGGCAGTAAAACACATGTCACCTGTAGAACCACATCCTATGGAAGCCTAGGGTGGTTAGGGATCGTAAATTGGGCCAATAGGAGTTGTAGTGAACACGATTCTGGATATTGCATAGTGTTTATGGCATGATCCTATACAAGATCCCCCAAAAGATTCAGAAAAAAGGGTCCCATTGGAATAAAGGTTTGTCTGAAAATTTGGTTTTACCATCCAAATGGCTATTTTAAACAGGAATAATGATTATGAATTGTTAGAATTAAGGGTACCTAATTTTCAGACAAACCCATGTATCAATGATATAACACTGGAATATACTAGGAATATAATGCTGATATTCAATAAGAGGATAGAATATCAACTCGTGGATTTATCTGGATAAATTATAACGACATCACTGTTCTCCCTCACTGGATCATGTTTAATAAGGACATCGTCCCGAAATAGCCGAACATTTCAGTTTTGTGAATTATGATGATTTGCCCAGATTTATAGATATAGATATGGATATGGTTAAATTATTATTACTTGCCCAGTTCAGTGATATCCACGATAATTATTAATAATTATGGATCTATAGCCTTCATTACAAAATTGAAGTGTTTTGGCACCACAGTCATCATCCCATGAAGCAGCCATAAAAGGGTGCGATATATCGAACTAGTTACTGTAGATGGGGTAACATAAAGCAACAAACATAGCAACAAAATTGCAACAAACATGTTGGATTATGTGTATATATATATATATGCTAATATATACACCATATACCATCATATACCATAGTGAAATCGGACTTATGTTCACCAACTGAGCTATCAAACAGGGCCCCACATATGGTTATACCCTCTACTTGGTTCACCCCAGTTTTAAGTGGATTCACCCTACTTACGAGCCACCAAGTACCATCAAACCTGGTACGTGAGAGTATAATTGTTCCAAATATATGTTTTCTAGATTAAACCATAGTATACCATCGTTACCATGATATTATATATATATTGTTTATATATATATATATATATGTTGTACCTATTTTATATTATGTGCCTTGCCATTTGGATATATCTGCAGCACGTGGCGCAGCCAGGACTGGCTCCGATGTATCGAAGGTCCGCCGGGCCCTGTGGGCGGCACCCCGATCAACGTGGTGAACCTCTCCAGTCGCCTCATGGCACGCTGGGATGAACCTGAAGCGTCCGGAAACCCAGGGGGAAGAAATGCTGGAGAGATGTGTATATCAACTGATTTTATATGATATCATATATATATATATATCATATACATATACATATGTATATATATATATATATCATGTATATATATATATATCAATACATTATATATATGTATATATGTATATATGCATCATATATATAATATTTCATATATATTACATGATTTACATATACATATTATGTCTTATATTATATATTACAATTACGATATAGATATGATATTATAATATTGGTCTATTTATATTACTCTGTATATGTATATACATATTTATATATATATATATATACACATCCTATGGAAGCCACCAGCAGCACCTTTGGGTGTGCTGGTTCCATGGGGTTCCATGACTTCCATGACTTCCTGGACAGCGTTCGAAGTTGCCCAAAAGAGTCTCTGAATTCTATGGTATGATGATATAGATGGGAATTTATGGTGATTTAATGGGATTTAATGGTGATTTATTGATGAACTGCCTGGATTTAATGGGATTTAATGGAATTTAATGGGATATTGATGGACTACCCTCTGGTAATTTGTTACAGTTTGCGATTGAAAATGGCCAATTGAAATAGTTGATTTACCTATTAAAGATGGTGATTTTCCAATTCGCTATGTTAGTTTACCAGAGGGTATGGTTTATGGATGTTTATGGTAGACATAACGAACTAGTTACCATCTGGTTATTTAACATAGCCATGGAAAATGATTATTTTTAATAGATAAACCATCTATTTCTATGTGCCATCTATACCATGGCGAACTGTTAGTCATAACCAGAGGGTAATATCATGGGGGTGTATAAACCAAGATTCACATCACGAAGCCACCGAAAAAAAACATGGTCATACCACCATCCTGTGGGATTTTTCATGGCTTTTGAAGGGGATTTCATGATCAGAAATGGGGCCAAGGCCCCCTGTTAAACCATGTTAAACCAACAGTTTGCAAACTTGGAAATCACCATTACGGAAATCAATGTCAATCATTTGGAAGTACGACATTTTCATCAGTATTCCATATATTTGTGCATAACTATCTTAGCTTACTGGAGGGTATTATCCAGATACTGTTTTCATATCCCCCTCAAAACCTGCAGTCTGCGGAAGCCAGTGCAATGGAGATGCCAGGTTTTTTGCTGTGGATGGGCCAGCGAAATCCTGCGCCACCAACCGGATGGTTTGAAGCCCTATAAATAATGGGATAAACCATCTATCAACTGTTGCAGGATTTCGCAACTATCCACCGTTTTTTTAGCTGGCAACATGATACATGGGGGTTTCTTCAGATTCTTAAGTCATGGGGGATCCCCAGTCGTCACCATGGTTGTTTCAATACTCACATGATCTAATGAAAGGATGATTTGGGAGTAACCCCATGACTTCGGAAACTGAAACTTCCACATTGTTGGTATAGTACATGGCTTAGTATGAAATAATTGTGGGATAACAATGCATAATTGTGGGATCTATGGAATTAACCATTCCCAAATGATTTCGGAAACCAGCAGCATATCCCAGTTATATCCGTGGTGCCTTTCAATGCACCTTTGCGGACACGGAAGGTATCGAGCTGGGCTCAGCGCGTGTACAGATAGTGGAGTGGAGAAACTTGGGTCGGACAGTCGGCAAATCTCATGGGGATGGGGATTTTTCAGCATGAAAAAATGGAGCTCAACCACCAACCAGAAATTGCTGGAAAACTGGACAATTTGATGGTTACCCTTGAAAGTAATCAATGGCAAACTTGAAAATCTCCTGTGAATGGACATTTTGACGGGAAAATTAATCGATAAATAGATGTCCTTTTCCCATAGAGGGGTTTGAAGAACCCCCTTTAACAATTGGTAAATTATGATAGATGGTATACCAAACCGGCCCCTCTATTTTTACCAAAAGGACATCATTGGGTAGAATGGTGATAGGATGGTTTCAGAATGGGAATATCATCAGACTATATGAGTATCATTTGGATAAATATGAAAAAACTGGTGAGGACTGAAAAACACGACTGCACGGAATCAATGATGTTTTGTGTTCGCGGAATCGTTCCCAATTGGGCGGCTCTGGGTGACTATCGTATACGATTTGTTTTCCGTCATTTTTGGGTGAAGTTTTGAAGAAGGTGCAGCAGGCGTAATTTGTTACATAGCTATTGAACATGGCACATAGAAAGTTCGTTGATTTAGCCAGTAAAAATGGTGATTGTCCATAGTGTTTTCTGTATGTTTACCAGAGGGTAACCCCTCAACAAGTGGCTGATAATCTATTGCCCTGTAGATCCTTCGCTGAGCCAAAGCAATGACAAGACGATGCGGTTTTCACGACCAGCTGAGAGATCACTGGTGAAGAAATCTGGGGAAGTGAGTTGAATTGTGTGCCCAACAGATCTGTCAGAAGAAAAACAGGGACAGAACCCATCAGTTTTCACGGGCATGAATCAGACATTCCGAATTGTGTGGTTTTAGATATTTTGTATTGTTGGGGATTGTGGTTTTTACGCTATAAGAATCCACAAGATAAGCCTTTCTTGGTGCTTTTTTGAGATTGTTGGTTTTCTTTTCATTCGAGCCATTGCCATGTTCACGTCCGATCAGGATTCCGTTCACTCGATGGGATTTGGACCAGTACTACTGCGAAAACCTGGACGACGCCAAACCTTTTCAGACCATCGTGAAACATCAGTGCCTCGACCAAAAAATGATAACATGTTTGCCAGGACTATCCTGGTTGGTGGTTTCAAACATGACCTTTATGACCTCCATAATATATGGGATGTCATCCTTCTCATTGACTTTCATATTTTTCAAGATGGTTAAAACCACCAACCAGCATTTTTTACGAAGCAACTAATAAGCGATGAAACCATCGATCATGGGAGACTGAATCCATTTAAAATATTTAATCAACAATGAATCTCTACAAGAATGAGGGATACTTGCTCCCACAAATTGCATTTTTTTTAATAGAGAAGATTCGGTTTTAATCCACTGGAACATTTTCTGGCCAACACAGATGGTCAAGAACTTAAGTGTTTAGCCCCTGTTTGAAAAACTGTTGCCACCCATGTATCAAAAAACTGCACATCTATAGCCGGCAGCGCAGCATGGCAATCGAATCAATTGCCCATGTGGAGATAATGTTCCTGTTGAACATACGGACTGTCCCTTGCCATGTTTGATTTTTGGTATAAGATGGCTACCACCATCTTCACACCTATCAGCAAAACATATAATAAAACTGAATGGCTAAAACATTGAAACCCTGTGAGTTCAAACAATGTGGGGCTCCCCAGTTTTGTTTGTTGGTTTATAAATCCTATTAACTATAGTGTTTTGATGTTATATGATATGTATATATTATATATATATATATGTATCATAAACCATAATTAGTTCACCAATTTAGCTATCCAACGGCCCCACATTGTTTGTTGCTTTTGTTGACGTCCCTGCAGTCTCTTCCAGGTCGTATGTCGAGGGAATTGAGCTCTTCGACTTCAAATACTTTCAGATTCCGCTGAACGAGGCGCTCGCTCCAAAATAGTGGTGATTGTTCAGTTCGCAAACTGCTAAACTACCAGAACGTAATATATATATATACACCAATGTTTGGATCAACCTTGGTTACATACTACTTTAATATATTGCTATGAATGGTAAAATTTACATTCACCAGCTAAAAAAATGTTGTTTGTTGGCAGGTATCTAAGGTTCACCATGATATTATATATATACTGTGGCTTATTGGACTCTACTTTTAAGCACCAGAGTTGAGACGATCATTTAAGGTTCTTAAGAGCAAGGTCAGAAGTTTGTTTATACTCGTTTATAGGATATTACAACCAACACAATTAATATTTTAGGATATTATTATAACCCATTATACTCAGTTTTTTTTATACTCAATGGATCTATTATAGGATATTATAACTTATAACCCATACAAAAGTCTTGGGTCATCCGTCATAGTTGTTGGGGACATGCTGATTGTTGGGGGAAAATTACTTGTTTAAGGCCGTAAACCAGATTCTTTCAAAGGATAGCTCTGACGTTGGCAATAGTCCTGACCGTCCTGACCTTGTTAAAGTCGGAATGTTATGATTAATTGATCATCGTTTTTTTTTGGCTACAGGCTATCACTTTGTTTATGCTGGTAGAAAACAAACAATAGATCAGCCAATACGACGTAAAGACTATCCCCCAGCGTTACAAAGTCTTAGTGGCCCAATATGATAGCGAAGTTGGTGCCCATCAGCCCATCCAACTAGATTGAGATATTCCAAAAATCGACCCAGTCATTTTGCGAACCCAGATGCGAACCATGGTGCTGGAATATGCACACCTACATTTACCCCAAAAATTGTCCAAATAAATGCAGGTAAATATTCCAACACCATGACACCTTGGTTCGCATCTGGGTATTCTAATTGTAGATATTGCAGATGTAATTATTCTCCATATTCCCCATAAACCCTAGTTATTACTAGTCATCCCTATACTTGTGGTGAACTGTTCACCAAAGCTGTTAAACGGGAGCGCCACCTCGTCGACCGTCGGATGATGTAAAAAACGACCCGACTTTTCATGGAAGATCCCCAGTTTTGGTTCACATTGAAAAGTATACAGTATAAATGATCACTATTCAACCATTGTTGTTGCGTTTTTGCTTTTCTATCTTGTTGCAGTTATAGCCCTTAACAGTTCAAAATGGCTCAAAGAGACTCATTTAAGTGATATGTTTCGCCTTAGTTGCAGCACTTGTTTCGTCCCATGGCCAGTTCACTGTATTCAGGGCCATAGGAATCCTCGAAAAAAAATACACAAGTGATTTACAACTTATTATCATTAAAGACTATTTAAGGTATTCTCTAAACAGTATTAACCATAATGGGATTTAATGGGATTCTTCGATTACTGAGTACTGTCTAGCGGGATCACGTATCATTCGACTATTTAACAGTCGGATTTCTACGAGATGGAACAAATGTTCGAAAGCTGTTTGCTGGAGAGAAAGTTCACTCCAATAACTACGGTATGGTATATAGTAGCCATACATGGTAGCTATAACTGCAGTATTCATGGGCTGAAACTAAAGCAACACAACATCCAAAAAAGAATGGATTTATTAGTTACTTAGTTACAACTTATATCCCATTTTTTGCAGGTTGAATATTGCTGATGAGTTATTTACATCCCATGTTTTATCCCAGTGATATAGTTATGATAACTTATATCCCATGTTTGACACCAATGAGTTGTAATAACTACTAACATAACTTATATGTTCTATGGTTTTATCCCAATGAAACACCATAAATCCCATCGAAAAATCCCCATATTTTCCATGTTATCCCAAGGAATCCCCATAAACATCGACAAAAACCCGGATCTTCGCAGGCGCGGGGGATGGATCCCATGCAGAGGCACGTCTTGGACGCTCGGAAATGGGCTATTTATGGGCTATCCTAGCGGTTATATCAATGGGAATTTCAGGATGGATATCTACCCGGCCTGGTAAACATACAAAAAGCTATGGAAAATCACCGTTTTAATGGGAAAATCCACTATTTCTATCACCATTTTCAATAGCAAACTGTTAAATTACCAGAGGGTAAATCATATGATAATCATAATATCTTTAGATCTAAAAATAACAATGTTGGGTTAAGTGCTGGGTTAATCCGAGTGATTTACTTGGGATGAGTGTGATACTCTTGAGATATCCATCATATACTACGGTTATATCAGTGGGAATTTCAGGATCCTAAAATGGAGGTACTATGAAAATATCTATATATCTAAACATATCCGATTTGGACATCCCAAAAATCTATGAACAATCTAGGATACATACATATATCCTATATAATGATTATAAATTTGCCTAATGATATCTATAAACATCTAGGATATCTATCCGATAAATCAAGGATATATATATATATGCCAAACATATTTTGAACAAATATAGTATTATGTTTTTAATCATTGGTATATCTTTACAAGAATATCTATATTGCTAGATTAGATATCCTAGATGTTGAAATCCCAAAAATGTATAAACATCTAGTATATATATATATCCTATATAATGTTTTTTTTTGCCTAATGATATCTATTAAAACACATAATATCTAGGATATGATTTTCAAAAAATATGGGATGTTCCATATAGATTATCTAGGATGTTCCTTATAATCCCAATTATCATCTATAGATATCATCCCAAAATTATCTAATGATATCTATATGATTTTATATGTCTGTATATTTCCAATTCGCAACTCATTTTTGTTTGGGTCTGGCAAAGATAAGTTCATATTCGCAAGCATTTAAGGTTTTGAGTAGCAACACTGAAAAACAGTTGCATTAGTAGCCACTATTTGGATGTCGCGACGCAAAACCGGGTATCATTCTGAAATCACGACAACTTGAATGCTGAAAAGTGTTGTTTTGATTGCCATCGCTGCTTGAACCCTGTTTGTGCTCATTAAATCCCTGTTTAACATGTATATAAATGATATCCCCTTATTTGTGTCCCATTAAATCCCATAAAACCACCATTAAATCATATTAAATCATATTAAATCATATTAAATCAAATTAAATCATATTAAATCATATTAAATCATATTAAATCATATTAAATCATATTAAATCATAATATTAAATAAATCATATTAAATCACGGTTTTTGCTGAAAGTCTCTGTGACCATTTTCAGCTGGTCGAACTCCTGAGGAAGTCGGTGCACAGAACCTCTTCAAGCCGCTGGGCAGAAGATTTCAGCGATGAAAAAACAGCCCTGGTTGATTTCCAATGCATGTGATATATAATTATATACTAATATATATATATATACATGCACAGTTCCAGTGGGTTCATATTTTGGAAATTTTGTTCTCCCGTCTCACAACCCACCAACCAACCATCGTCTATAGTATCTCAGTTTCTACCATGTTCTCAAGTTTGACTGATAGAAACTCATGGAAACTGAAACTGGTAGAAAGTGATAGAAACAGACATCTGCTAGAGACTGACAGATCTGATAGAGACTGATAGAAACTGATAGAAACTGGTAGAAACTGGTAGAAACTGATAAAAACTGATAGAAACTGATAGAAACTGATAGAAGTGATAGAAACTGATATACTAAATGATGGTTGGTTGTTGGTTGTTAGTTGTTGGTTGATTGGTTGTTTGATGGGAGTTGATTACGAACTAACTAACCCATTGTAGAGAAACCTATTAACCAACTCGTATCATGAGATGGGATAGTTGTTTTTTTTAATGCATGGCTCATCTGTGACCAAGAACCTGAACCCTTGTGTGGATTGCAGCTATCAACCAGCAGCAAGAATGATGATGAAATCGGGTACAATGTTCACAGTTTTCTATGGAAACCATGACCCATTTAGTTCGATGATTGTCATTGTCTGTCATTGCGCTGTCGTGTCGCTTGTAAAGGGGCTCCCGTAAAGCACCCCTTAGCAGCGTTTCGGGTGCTTTTAGGTGCTTTTGGGTGCTTGTTCCGGTAAGGGCAATGCGTGTCGTTTTTTGTGTCAATTTTGGGAGATGTTAAACACTTGGACTTCCATCAACCAGTGGTTTGTAAAGAGCAGAGAGAGTCAAGATGTTCGGATCCTAAATGCTTTAAGACCCCTCCACACATTGCCTCTCAGAAATGCATATTTCAGAGGTCCAATAGGCATCCCTTTCGAAAGTAAGTATATATAATATATAGAATACACAGTATAAATATGTATATATATATATGCAAACATACTAGACACATACAGTGCATACGTACACATATATATATATACAAATATACATACATACCCATCATACATAGAATATATAGTGCAGAATCATATAAGGTACACATTAAGAAACATGCTATAAAAAAAAAAACTGTACCCTCTGGTAAACTAACGTAAACATGGAAAATCACCGTTTTATAGCTGGGCAAATCCATAAAACATTTCAATATGTAGTGTATATCACTTGGTCCGCTAGCCAGGATGGGCATCACCAAAGATATTGCCAGTCGGAAGCCTCACCACGCTGGGGTTTCCGTTGGCCTCGATAAGGACACTGCGGAGCGCGGATTTCCCAGGGATCGGTTTCGGTAGTTGTCAGCCCTGTGTTTTAATGGTGATTTAATGGTGGTTTCATGGTGATTTAATAGGATTTAATGGTGATTTAATGGTGATTTCATGGTGACTTCATGGGATTTAATGGTGATTTAATGGTGGTTTCATGGTGATTTCATGGGATTTAATGGTGATTTAATGGTGATTTAATGGGATTTAATGGTGATTTAATGGAGATACCCTCTGGTTATGCGAAAATAGCTGTGGAAAATCACCATAGAAATAGTGGATTTACCCATTGAAAATGGTTATTTTCCATAGTTATGTGGCTGTTTACCAGAGGGTAAGCCTACTTATCCCATTTACAACTGGGGTGAACTAAGCCATTTACGAGCCGTGGGCCACTTACGAGCTGTGGGGTGAGCAGCCAAGTATAAACTAAGACTACAAATGCCTTCAAGCCTTACCCATCATTAGAATTAATATTAAATAAACGCCACTCTCAGAAACCATGGCTTCGTAGAGGATTTACACATCTCTTTCCTGGACCATACAATGGGAATGTTCAAAAATTGGGGAATGGGATTATTCTAGGGGATTTGCCAATGTCAGGCAAGATTGACTAGAGGATAGTTATAGTTTGCCAATGGGAAAGACCGTGACTTTGCGCCACCAATAGTTGGATCCTGAAAAAGATCCAGGTATTAAGGGGTTATATTCCATTCCAGACGCACTCTTCTATTCTAGTTAGTGACCATTCCAGTAAAACGACCATCCCTGTAGAGCCTCTGAACATTGAGTGCACAATGCAAAAAAAGGTGCCGCTGGCATGCTTCAGCACCAAAAATCTCGGAGACCGCAGTGCCTGCCATTCCCTCTCACTACATAAAATAATTCTGTACATGCTATTGAAAATACCATTCATTACATGCCTGGTAACATATGATTATATGTATAATTATGTATATATATATAATTATATATATATATATGGTGCCTTCATTTCCCAAGTTGAACTTACCCTCTGGTAATTTGTTACATAGCTAGCTATTGGTTACATGTCCCATTCCTATTGGATTCACCGAGCTGTAAAATGGGTGGATTTTCAATAGCTATGTAACAAATTACCAGAAGGTAACAGGGCTGTTGTTTTAGGATGTTATACGGTATCTCTTCGCTCTGGTAATCAAAGGTGGCAATTTTGAAAATCACCAAGTTTCGGATGATTTTCCCAGCAAACCTCCATTGAGAAAGGCTTCAACCAAAAAAAACAGGGCGTGAAAAGCATGTCCATGATGATTGGAATGAGCCGGCTTCATTGTTGGTATGAATATATGAATAATTGCTTCACGTATTAGCCAGGTATATATATATATATATGTATGATCTGATTGTATATGAATATCCATGAATAATTGTTGGTATGAATACTTAAGTTGGTCGCGTGACCCAAAATTTAGCATAGTATAGTAGTATAGGTCATGTTTTTGTGTAACCCAATAACTAGATGTTTTTTTGTTTTTAAAAATATACCTGGGTAAATTATAACGACCTCACTGCGACCTCACTGGAAATCATTGTTAATAAGGGGAATCATCCCCAAATGGCCTTAATTCAGGTTAGTGAAATATTATAATTTACCCAGATATGCTATAAGTTACTACCAAGTTCTCTCTGATCCCTTCTGCTTCTATCGTCCTTCGAGGATGATTTTGATTTCGTGCCGAAGCCTCCAGACATGGTGGGAAGTGCCAACGTGCAAGCCATCATTGCGAATCGTTTCAGCTTCTCGGCCACTTTTGTTCTGAGATCCGTGGAATTGATCCAACAAAAATCTCAGAAAACCCAGTGGAAAAAAGTAACGTCGCGAACTGGAAAATCACCATGTTTAATAGGTAAATCATCATGTTTATCATCTTTTTCTATGGGCCATGGCTTCCATAGCTATGTAACAAATTACCAGACTCAAAGGGTAATATATGTGGTGGCTTTCACAGCTCGTAGGTTAGTTCACCCCAGTGATAAAAACATGGGAAAATCCACTGGGGTGAACCAAGCCACAAGAAATGACTAGTCGTGGGATGAGAAAAACCTAAAGTAGTTGGGCTATTTATATTACGGTTATATCAATGGGAATAAAAAAGGATCCTAAATCAATCCATATCAGCTCATCCAACTAGATTGAGATATTCCAAAAGTAGACTCAGTTATTATATCAATCCCAGATGCGAACCATGGTGCTGGAATATGCACACCTACATTTACCCCAAAATGGTCCAGTTTTGTAGGTAAATATTCCAGCACCATGGAGCATCTGGGAATGGGAATAAAACAGGATCCTAAAATGGAGGTACGTAAACGTACCATATGTTTGACCATATTTTGTGGGGATATTCCCTGAAATTTAGGCCTGAAAAAATCGTCCTTTTTTCTATGGTAGGTAGCTCCAATCAATCGGTTCCTGAAATGGCCATTGATTATATATCCACATATATATATATATATAATTATATCCACATATATATATAATTATATCCATATATATATATATATACATACATCTATATATCCATAATTATATCCACTTAGTTCACTGGAGCTGCCCAATGGACGCAAGCAATTTTGATCGACTTGATGCCATCTGTGTGTGGATTTCTTTCTGTCCCAAAAAGTTCCTAAGTTGGTGTATGTTCACTCATCGAATACTATAGAATACTATAGATATATCCAGTTGAAACTTGTTTTTTTCCCATCTAGCTAACTAGAATATAACATTATATAATGATATATCCCTTCGAAACTCGAGGTTCACCTAATAGTCTCAACCAACTTGGACCTGGAATGAACTTGGGGGTCCACACATCACCGTGGGTATCACCATGTTTCTGGGTCGAGGCTTTATCTTCAACTTAAAGGGACCCAATTATGTGGCGGACACGGCGTGCTCTGCGTCCTTGACTGCTACCCATTTGGTCACTTGGTGGAAGCTCTGGGGAGCCTAGTGGGGGATGGACATTGAAAGAAGTGATGGCTGGGAAGTACGTTTTTGGCTTCACTAAGATCGAGATAAAATCGATATCCCATTAAGCTTTACCTATTTGCACAAGTCACAGCAAGATTCCGATCGTAGTTGGTATAACTCTTGCATTGGATTGGTTTTTGAGGGAACACTTTCAGGAAACACTGATTCTGGATTGGAAAATTCATTTCTTCACTGAAGATATTCCCTTCAATAAAGCCATCAATTCATGCCATGTCCGATTAGTCTATTTCAGTCAAACAAGACTAGGCCAGCAATATTATGATGGTTGAAATCCTACCCATAAAAATGCTACAATTGGGGCTGTTTGGATTCTATTTATAATATATATATATATATTTATTTGTTTATATGTACATGTACAATATAATATATGTAATATATGATAATATATGTGATATAATATAATTATATATATTATAATATATATTAATATGTAATATATTATATGATGTAATATATATATATACATATATATATATATATATATGTAATATAATATAAGATTTAATATTTAATATAGAATGTATAATTTATAATATACAATATATAATATACAATATATAATATATAACCACACAATACATACATATATATAATACAATATATATATATATAGTATATATATAATATGTTATTTAATATATATATATATATGTATTGCTTCACTATTCCAAACCCTGACCCAAGCTCCTCTGGAAGTTTTCTGAGGCCAAGTTTATGCTGCGAGATCAGACGATTGACAAAATCGAGTTTCATGTGGCTTTGGGGATTCACCAGTCACTCGGCGGGAGCTGGGAAGATCATCAAAGTTGTGGTGGATTTCCCCCATGGACGAAGGCATAGGTGTCCACATATCCCATATGCGAGCCATGGTGCTGGTATATCTACCCACATTTTGGTGATTTTTAGGGCAAATGTTGGTAAATATTCCATACATGGAGCATATGGGTATGGTTTCCTATTCCAGAAATTAAGAAAATGTTGGTCAACCAACAAATATGGCAATATACAGGAATTTCTGCTGAAACTCCGCCCGAAAGAGGGGTTTCTGACGCATATTGAGTTGACAAATTTACAGACTTGTGGATCTCTGAGAATCCATTGTCGTCGTCAGCATCATCATCACCAGCACCAGCAACCAGCACCAGCACCATCACAATAATCAATCACCAATGATGATCCATATATTAATATTGATACGTATATATAAATATATGTATATATAAATATATTATGTATATATATATATGTATATATTATATGTATGTATATATATATATATATATATATATACATGATAATCATGATATCCCAAGATAAACATGTATATGTTTTATAGCCACAATGCGCACACATCAATATTTTTCACCATGCCCTTGCGCTCGCTGCCCGGGATGCGCACGCCGCCCTTAGGTGTTTGTCTCCCCACGCCTTCGTTGGCTCGTCGCAGAATCATATGATTTCCATGCGCTGTCGCACCTTCAACGCCACTGCTGGGGGCTACATGCGCGGAGACGGCTGCTCTGGATTGCTGCTGGGACAGCATGAAAGCGCCGAGAAGAACTTTGTGGGGGAAAAAAACTTGAGAATTCATAAAGCGCCGTTGAACAGTGGGGGATTATGCTTGAGAATGAAAATCTGGGGAGTTTTGATACTAATTTTTGAAATCTATTATCTGATAATAGACAGCATCTACGTTTTGTGACTGAATGGAACCAGATTGTTGATTGGTTATAAACTGGGGGGTTATACTAAGTTAGTTGAACCAGGATATACACTCCTGAGTAATCCAGAACATGTAGTTTTATGATGCAAAGTTTTCTGCTATTTCTATAAAGGTTGAAAATATTTATTTTAGGACAAAATAGGAAAAAAATAGGAATCAAACATAGGAAAAAAATAGGACGCAAAAACACACTTGACACAGGACTACAAAGCACTTCCCAATATATTTGTTTTCCTATTTTTTTCCTATGTTTTTCCTATTTGCATTTTTGGGCCCTGTTTTTCCTATTTTTGAATCCTATTTTCCTAATTTTTCCTATGTTTTTCCTATTTCTGAACATCTGCTTCCAGCACCATACCTTTTTGTTTCCTATTTTTCCCTATTTTTCCTATGTTTTTCCTATTTTTTCCTTTTTTTAAATTCGGCTCCCAAAACCGTCAAAAAACGTAAAAAACATCAAAAAAATAGGAAAAATAAGAAAAAAGAAGAAAAATAGGCAAAACATAGGAAAAAAAATGAAAAATAGGAAAAAAAGGAAAAAAAAACAGTATAAATATTTGTTTTCCTTTTTTTTTCCTATGTTTTTCCTATTTGCATTTTTGGGCCCTATTTTTTTCCTATTTTTGAATCCTATTTTTTTCCTATTTTTTTCCTATTTTTTCCTATTTCTGAACATCTGCTTCCTATTTTTTTCCTATTTTGTCCTATTTTTTCCTATTTTTTTCCTATTTTGGATTCGGGTCCCAAAACCGTCAAAAAACGTAAAAAACCTCGAAAAAAATAGGAAAAAAATAGAATTCAAAAATAGGAAAAAAATAGGATTCAAAAATAGGGCTGGGGGAGAGGAGGGGGAGGAGGAAAGGGGTGTGGGAGCGCCACGCTTATTGCTGAATTTGGATCGCGCCGTGGTGCCTTCAAGATTCAATGTCTGCTTTCGGTTCCTTTCCTTTTCCAATTGCGAACGCAGCAGCAGCAATTGCAATTACTTACATACACGCATGGGACATATCCAAACATTTACATGTATAGATGTAACACCATACGCTGGTTGGCAGTGGACCCACATATATCCACAGTGACATTCCTCATAAAATGTGGAAGGCTCTGCTTGTGTTTTGTGTTGGTGTTGTTCCCAAATTTGAAGCTGTGGTTCATCTTGGTTTGGCAGTCCTTTTTTTCCTATTTGAGTTCTGGAACCCTATTTTTTTTTCCTATTTCTGAATCCTATTTTTTTCTTATTTTTATCCAAAAAATAAATATTTATAGAACGAATAGAAATAGCAACATCTCAACATCATAAATCTAGTTGATTAATTTACTGTACTTATTTGGGAGTGGTACGGTAATACTAGTTAAACTGGTTTATTGGGGATGATGATAGTCCAGCAGTCACAGGCTTTATGTTGCCCAACCAGTATATGATGGGATGGGATAGAGTTATGGCCCTTAACAGTTATTTTGATGGGTTAAGAATGACATATAACCTGATTTATAGGAATTATATGTCCATTTATAACTGTTAAGGGCCATAACTGTAAGGGTATGTCCTATGTCTTACACCTCTCAGTACCATTCTGTTTGTTGGTTTAGGTTCGCCCAACGTCGCATATATCTACCGAAAAGCATTAGATAGCCTATGGAGAAAGAAACCGACTTAAATGTCACATATTCATGTGTATCATTGAATCCAGTTATGTGATACTTACAATCACCCTTCTTGTTGCTCCAATCCCCATGTTTGATTGTTAAATCATGTTAATTCACAATTTCTACTTCAAATCACCATGGTTTTCCAGCAAAATCCTCCATGGTTTTGCCTCCATTTTTCGCCATGCCAGCCGTGCCGTGCCAGGACCCTGAAGCCCGGTGACCTGCCCGAGGAGCGCGACGCCATCTGGCGCGGCTCCATGGTGGGACAGAACGGCAAATCGGCCACGTTGACGGCGCCCAACGGCATCGCGCAGGAGGAGACGGCCCTGAGGGGTCGGGAGGATCGCCCAACGGCACAGTTATGGTCCAACCATGACCAACCAACAGTTATTTTTATGGGTTTATTTGGGTTTGTCTGAAAATAGTGTACCCCTACACCCAATGGTTTTGCTGATCATTATCCCTACTAAATGGCTATAATTGGGGGTATACCCCATTTTCAGACATACCCATTTCATGACATATAACAGCATATAACCTGAGTTATAGGAGTATGTCCATTTATAACTGTGGCCATAAGTGTAAATCAACCAATCGTCTTGGATGACCATGACTCAGTATTGAAACATATTGAAACCTCTGGATTTGGGGAAGTAAACATGTTTGTTTAACAATAAACCAACCAGAAATGAAGGTTTCAACAACTATCAAACAAGACTGATGGTTGTACAATTTACTATTAAAGTTGATGAAAGCAAACATAAGTACACCTGGAGATTTGAAGCAACACAAAACCCTTGAACACAATGGTGCTGTTTAAGATTTGTCCATGGTCCATGACAAATGGGCATCTTGAACGTCCAAGAAGGAAACACCTGTTGATAACTGCTAAACTGTGCCGAGCATGTTGTGTCAAACATATTTGCAGGACGTGATTTGGAAGGCTATCCGTCGCTTGTCTCAAATCGCTTTTCAGTAGCGAGTCATGTTTCCTGTGCGTGGATGAAGGGCCCATAAGTCATAGAATTGAGGGGAAATTTCAGAGGAAACCCATATGGAGGTTTCCTAAAATAGGGGTACCCCCAAATCATCCATGTTAATATGATTTTCCCTTATAAACCCTCCATTTTGGGGTACCACTATTTCAGGAAACCTCCATATAATATATTTATGGGTAAGGAACACAACAATGGTTTCTAATATGTTTTCTCTCAAACCAATGCCTTGAATACATGCCTGATCTTTTTTTTTGCTAAACTATCCATTTGGGTGGTCAATAGTAGCCATAGCTGACTGACCAGGTTGGCTAACCCCTAAAACCAGTGCGCACCCGCCACAAGACCTTGACACTGGTTGCAACTGCGATGTTTCTTCTTGCCCCATTTACCATTCAAGATTATTGGGTGGTTATAATTACTGCCGTTGAGAGTTGGTACATCACAATGACTCAATGTTTATGCGTGATAGAGCTATTGCTCCTGGTGGTTTTATTCATAGGTTTATTTTCATCAACCTAATATTAAGCACTCCAGGGAACTTATGTTTTTTGGTAGGGGATTTACCCATATGTATATATATATATATACCAATATATGTATCCATAGTTAAATCCAATATCCATAGTCCATATTTGAACCCTCAATTTTCATAGTGAAATCCTCTATATTGTATGTATATGTATATTATACATTATGTATAATATATATATATGTGCATATTATACATATTATTACCATTTTGACATCATCATATCATCACGTCACCTATATACATATATTTGTAGACAATATCAATTGTTTGAATATTTATATATATATATATGTATACAGATACATATGCACATATTATTAAACATTGTAGATGTATATTAATATATATATATATATGTTTTGATATACACACGTCATTCAGCTCATTCAACAAAGTTCGGATGATTTCAGGTGAGGCCAAAATTTCGCCCACCGAAAGCTGCGTTTGGAGCTGCCATGGCACTGGCACCTCTCTGGGAGATCCCATTGAGGTAGGTGCTGTTCCTCGATGGGAAATTGAACAGGAAACCAGGAGAATAGTCAATGGGAATTTCAGGATCCTAAAATGGAGGTACTGTACCATATAAGACCATATTTTGTGGGGATATTCCCTTACATAGGCCTTACATAGGCCTTATATATGGCAGGTACCTCCAATCAATCGGTTCCTGAAATGGCCATTGAAATAGCTGGTTGTTTCTTGCTTTTCGTTTGATTTGATGTGGATCCAAGTGGCAAAAAGTGGCAAATCTGAAGGGAAAATTTCAGTGGCAGATTCAGGAAAAACATGTGGATTTTCGAAGAAACCTCATTTTTTGGGCGAAAGGATCTGTCTAAAAACACTACGCAAAAGACACTGCAATGTGAGGCCCCCCAGTTATAAGTTGGTTTATAAGCCCCTGTAACTATAGATATAACCCCCATAAACCATAGTTATTGGACTTATAAAACCAACTTAGCTAACGAACTGGGGCACCACCTTGTACGCAAAAGACACTGTGATTGTCAAGATTATTTCAGAGGCACAAGTGCGGATCGGGTCAAGAATAAGGAGTTTGGACACACTTCGGGTTTTGAAAGGTTAAGTCTATAGCAACCTCACACCAAAAGTAACGGTATATCATATAGTGAATAGAGTGATTAATAGAAACAAGGTCATAATGCCTTGAATTAAATCGCAACTCAGGTTTCTAAGTGGATTTGTATCCGTTTAATGTTACTTTCCTTTGCAAACGTCACGAATCATCCAAGTGCCTCAGGTTACAGGCTGATTGGTTGGAAGATGTAATCGTATCAAGTTCTCCTGGGAAAGCCTTGGATGGAAAGCTAAAAGACTGTATGTTGGTGTCATTGGTGATTATCAACGAAGGAAATCGGTGTATATGTGTGTGGAGATATTGTATGATATTGCAGGATAGCTTTCCATTTTGTTTGCATCTATTGATGCTAATCCATAGTCTTCAAAAGTTATTGAGTCATTGATTATCCATATTGAAAATCCACATAATGTATAATGTTGGTATAGATAGATAGATAGATAGATAGATAGATAGATGGATGGGTAGATAGATAGATAGATAGATGGATGGATGGATGGATGGATGGATGGGTAGATAAATAGATAGATAGATAGATAGATAGATAAGATAGATAGATAGATAAGATAGATAGATAGATAGATGGATGGATGGATGGATGGATGGATGGATGGGTGGATGGATGGATGGATGGGTAGATAAATAGATAGATAGATAGATAGATAGGTAGGTAGGTAGATAGGTAGATAGGTAGATAGGTAGATAGGTAGATAGATAGATAGATAGACAGACAGATAGATAGATAGACAGACAGATAGATAGATAGATAGGTAGATAGGTAGATAGATAGATAGACAGCCAGATAGATAGATAGATAGATACATTTTACAGAGAAATCCAGGGATGATCCCATGATTCAAAACATGTTTAACAATATTAATGCATCCTTATATAAATATATATATATATGTATATTCTATACATGTATAAATGAATTATATATATATACTATACTATACTATATACACACTGTATATACACACTATATATTATATATACAAAGTATATATACATATATATATATACAATAAATATATACACACTATATATATATATATATACATATAACTATATGTCATATGATCAATATTCAATGTCGACTGGCATATGTTTAACATTGGCTGTGATGTTGTTTTTAACCAGCGAAAACTTGGCGACTGAGGTGCGAAAAGTTCAGGCGAAGGAACCACGTGATACCACTCTGTTGGTGGTGACGCACCTCGGTTCTGTCGATTCTTAATGCGGAGTGGGGGATTTTTCAGGTTTTTTTTAAAATCTATGGTGATTTTCATGGGATTTTATGGATTGTCATAGGATTTACTGGAATTCATGGAATCTTCACAAAACCTGCCGGTTGATGATTAGATAATTACACTACCCAATAGAACGGGAAAAATCATAATCCATTAAGGCAAGACCTATCAACCAAGCAGTACAAAGGGACGACGATTGTCGCAGGTGAAGAATGCTCATGTGTCAAGGCGAGCCATGGATTTGGGTCAGTTTAATGATACCCTCTGGTAAACGTTTACATGAGCATGGAAAAACACCATTTTTCGGAAACATCCACTATTTCGACTGGACCATTTTCAATGGTTTTTTGTTTGTTTACCAGAGGATACTTGTTTAGTATATATCTCCATTAGTTATACCCATTAGTCTATCCATGGTTTCCCAACCAGTGCTACAGCTTGCACACTATCTCCATGTTTGCACCAACATGGAGATCTCACCGGAAAAATATCTCCGATGGTTTTGCAAAGCTGTGCTGAACAAGACACAAGGTGGTGCCCCAGTTCGTTAGCTAAGTTGGTGCACATAACTCCAATAACATCCAATAACTATGGTTTATGGTACAGTAGATATAACTATAGTTACTGGGGTTTACAAGGTTTATAAACCAACTTGTAACTGGGGGGGCACCACCTTGTAGATACGGCAGATCACTAGGCAGGCAGTTCCATTTCCATGATTAGTTCAACTTGGTAAGATCGATCAGCAATTTGTTTGCAGTACATCAACAAACACACATATCATTTTAGAAAGAGTCTAACAAATATCTCATCTAAACGGAAACTTGTCTTATATATATATAATTCATGTTCATATGATTCATATGTAGAAAGCCTTGTCAAAATCGAGATTGCCAAACTATGTTCATTTCACAGTATCATTCCATATTTGTAATATAGTATCAGATGTTCATTGTTGTACATGTTGATGTCTAAGACATTTCATTACAATTATTTTGTTAGACTATTCTCACAACCTTAAAATGGTGTTGTCACAATACAATCCTATATATTTGACAATACAATCCTATCTCTATTCACAATGATATTTACACAATGATTGTGAACATGATGCCTAAAGCACAATTATCTCATTGATTGATTGACAATACAGTCAATTTATTGACAATACAATGTTAGTGAAATGTGAGTTTTTCAAACACCATTGACGAAAGTTCTCAGAACTTTCCTCAACTCTGAGGAACAAGTCACAAACGGGTCATCTGGAAGGAGGAGCTGCCATGACTTCCCTCATTGCAGCGGTCTTTCAGGCGCTTGGGATGAGGTGAAGCAACTATGTTATGAATCGCGGTGATAGAATTAGTTATAAGCCTATAGACAGTTATAACTGAAAACGTTTAAGTGATGTATATTTAGATATGTACAGTATATATAATATTATATAATTCCATCCAGAGTTAAAGGCAATGACTGTATGATGAATTCGATGGATGGCAACCACAAGTTTCTTGTTTTGTGGTTGGTGAAGTGATTGGTGTTTCTGAAACGTTTTTCTCGATAGGAATTGACATGCTTAGTATATATATATATATAACACATCTTTGCAGGCACATATGTTGAATTAGGATAGCCATAGTGCCAATGATGAGCCAATAATTTGGGTGCTTTCGGATTTGGAGTTATGAACAGCCATGAACTCGCGAAGCCGGAGCTTATGGATCCCCAAGTGATGGTTGATAGTGATGTAAATAAAGTTGCTGGCTTTAAATCAATGAACTTATCAGATAAACCTCTGATCTTCCCTATGTGAGATATCTATTGAAATTCGCCACTCACCACCGGAATGATTTCCCCAAGTGCATAGATATGGAAGATGATGGAATCTGCTTGAATTTCATGGCTTCCTCGGAACTGATCTGCCTTCATCGGGGTTTTCCATAGAAATTGGCCCGGTGAGGCCCCCCTTAGCGAAGTTGCGTTGACGTTGCGTTGACGGACGACTTGGTGAATTCCTTTGGGTTGATGAATGGGGGATTACCCGGCCTGGTAAACGTTTACAGTTTGCGAACTTGAAAATGGCCATAGAAATATAGAAATAGTTGATTTTCCCAGCTATGAAAAATGGTGGATCTTTCCATAGTTTTTTGTATGTTTACCAGAGGTTAGATTGGATTGTAAACCGACTTACAACGCTTGGGGGCCCCACTACGTGTATTTAGAGTATTATGATACATATATATATATATATATTAATTATGTAGTATTATACGTAACGCGATGAGATTATAGACCAGACCAACAACCATTCATGTTTATTAACAATCCAATAAAATCCCATGAAGAGTGTGTTATTTTTCAAGATGTTGTTGGGATCAAAAAATAAACCAACAGGAACCGGTGGTGGAGTGGAGTTCCACTTATGCTTGTGGATACACAAGCATAGTTTTAAGATTCAAACATCCCAAGTTATGAAGGTTCTTACCCCAAGTGGATATGATACGGGTTACATCCCAACTTATGAAGGTTATTGCCCCGACTTATTGTACTGATTATCACTTCACTTATAAGCGTTACAACCATTTATGAACTTATGAAGCTCGTGATCCCATGTTTATATCCATTAGTATACTATTAGTATACGCAAAAATCACAAACTTATGACAAAATAGCACCATAGTTATATCCCAACTTCTAAGTGATTAAGCCTCACCAACAATAATATGGTTATAAGAACCATGTTCACCTTCCTTTCTTCCCAGAGCTTCGCCTTGGAACTCCTTCACCGAACTCGTGAGGTGAAGTCTTCCTTAGCCATCCCCTGCTGTCACCTCCGACAGCTGAATCCTCACTTGGACCAGACAGGCGCGGGGTCCAACGGGAGAAGCCCAAGGTGCTGGGCCATTCACTACTATATATATATATATATATATACATATGTATATGTATTTTATTTAATTAAGATATCCAGAGTATTCTATAGTTCGATGAGGTTGTAAGCATAAATATATTTTATTTAAACAAATAGTATGTATAAGCCAGCGAACAGAACGTTTGCGTGCCCCACTGTCTATGGCTTTAGAAAGTCATGTAATAAAAGACCCAAAAGTGCAATCAAAACCGGGGTAGGAATATATTTTTTTGAGACATCTCCATACTGTATCAGATGGTTGGTTACATTTAACCCCATTGTATCCCCAAATACGCTCAGTTCATTCCATCAAAAATGCCACAGATATCCAACTTGGAGGATGAGTTTGGCGGGATGCTGTGGTGACTTCACATGGGATATTCTGAACATCAGCTGATCCAAAGAACATGATACCCTCTGGTAAACAAACATAACTATGGAAAATCACCATTTTATAGCTGGCAAAATCAACTATTTCTATGGCCATGTTTAATAGCAAACTGTAACAAATTACCAGACGGTACTGTACTTGCCCATTTGCCCAGCAGTTAGGATCTAATGTTTAGTAGCTGGAGCCTAGTAAGATGAGAAATCATCATCAGTAGCAAAACATAAGCTTCAACATAGCAATGTCAGAGTCGGTTCATCAGTAGGCTTCAAGCGTGTACAGTACCCTCTGGTAATTTGTTACATGGCTATGGAAAATGGCCATAGAACTAGTGGATTTACCCAGCTATAACATGGTGATGTTCCATAGTTTTCTGTTTGTCATTTCAGCTGGGACATCCTCAATTTTGCTATCGGCCTTGCCAGCCGTGTTTGCTTTGTTTTCCAGCCATCATCATAGCCATCTTTGGATACACCAAAGATCACCAAAGTGCCATGGTATGGAAATGTATGGAACATGCCAAAGTCTACTCACCAGTGTGACCCGCCTTGTTATCATTTAATTGGTTGTTTGGCAAAAAATGGTGTTCATCCTTGGTTTTTTGTCAAAAATTGGTGTTCATCCTTGGTGTTTGTCTGAAAATAGGGTACCCTAAAATCCAAGAGTTGATCAGCAGTTTCCCATGGAAAACGTGTGTTTTAATCGCCATGGCGCCATGGCTGTTCCGACAGCTCCTGTAGTATATTACTGCTATTATTGTAGTATATAGCTATAGTAAAAATCATATTGTCTTCTCTCTCTCTCTCTACATATATATATATATATATATATATACACGTTCATATACATATATATATATATACATATATATATATACATATGTATATTTATTTATATATATATATATGTCCCCGGGCCATTACATCCCCATGATATCCTCGTGAATGGTTTGGTTAAATGCCGATAGGTCTGGTTGTCCGTTTATGTTTTTCATCAACAAAAAGAACACATGTATGCCCAATTCAAACGTTTTTGTTTCCAGAATTTCTACAGCCAAAATCAGCAACCAGCCAAAATCCCAGGATTCAATGCAGTATTCAACAGCGAGTTGAACTACTACAACTACTCCCAGGGCATTGTCCATGTGAGTTCCTTTGGCTTCGGCGGCACCAACGCACACGCCATCTTTTGGGGCGAGGTCGGGTCGGAGCTGCGGATTGCTTGGGATGAGGTTTATGGTAGATCTAACGAACTAGTATTCAGAAGGGGTTTAGAAAAACCAACTTATGGCCCAAATTTTTCCAGTTCTTTTGATGGGTTTATGTGGTGATATATAACTTGAGATTAATAGGAGTTCTGTTTCCATTTATAACTTTTTAACTGTAGAGATATGGGGGTTAAACATGGTTGGACCATCAGTTGGCATGACAAATGGGATATGGATGGAAAGATATCGTGATTGTTCATGGGGTTTCATGGACTAAGAATATAACAACGGATTATCATGGGACTTTATCCGTAGAATGTGGAAAGACATATGAATGTGGAGATTCAAACTTTTGAAATTGGCATTTTAAAAGGGATATGAATGGGAGATGTTTAACCAACATTATATGATATTTACAAAACACATGCCGAGGCTTCTGTTGTATAGCGCTATGTTGGTGAACAGTTCACTACCTGTACAATGACTGTTGGGTGCGTAGGAGGTATATCGAACTAGTTAGATGTGGTTAGAAACCAACAAACATGACCAGGGGGGCCCACTAGCTTACCACTATGTCAGATTATGTCAGGATATTAACTTTCAATCTTCGCAAAATTGGAGTCAGCTATAAATGCTTCGGGTAAATGGGGTTTAAACCAATGTGTCACATTTGTAAGGGATGATAACTTACGACCCAGCTACTGTCCATCTACGTAGTGGGGCTCCCAAACGTTACGTTGTTGATTTATAACCCCATATCTATATCTATAGATATACACCAACAACAAAAACAACAAGTATTGTAGTTTGTTGTATGTTATAAAACAACTTAGCTAACATTAAAATCAGCTATAGCTATATAGATATCCCATTAGACATTGGACATTGGATTCCCTGAAAAAAATCTAGGTGAAATCAGCAAGTTCGTACTAAAACCGGCAGGATGCTGAAGCCCCGCGTTGTGTTGTTTCCATATTAATCTGGTTGGTGGTTTGGAACCAGCAACAAATAGGGATTTAATGGGATTTATTGGGGATTTATATATAACCATTATGAATAGTATATCATATCTGGTTGGTGGTTTGGAACATGATTTTTTATGACTGTCCATTCAGAAAAGGGAATTTCATAGCCCCAACTGACGAACTCCATGATTTTTCAGAGGGGTAGGTATACCACCAACCAGTAATCCATCAATAACCTGTTGGCCTAATACCCATATGCGAACCATGGTGCTGGTATATTTACCTAGAAAACGGGTGATTTTGGACAATGGCAAATGTTGGTATTTTTTTCCAGCACCATGGAGCTTTTGGGATACTTGCTCATGTTTCTATCTCCATTTTTTGTCCACTTGAAATCATCTCAAGTCCCACATGTTTCAACATCCAACCACTCCAACCAGTTCAACCTCTCAACCCCTCCGCATCCGCCAGGACGTGTACCACGCCCCCAGCAACGCCGAGCTTTTCCAGAAGCGTCTGCGCCAGATGTCGCCGCCCGAGGTGCGAATCAATGGCAGCGATCCAGTGGCACGGCGATGGCGATGGCGGTGGACAACATGCTGGGGAAAACCCATGGGAAATGCGGAAAAAAACATGGATTATGATGGGAAAACCATGGATTATGATGGGAAAACCATGGATTATGATGGGAAAACCATGGATTATGATGGGAAAACCATGGATTATGATGGGAAAACCATGGATTATGATGGGAAAACCATGGATTATGATGGGAAAACCATGGATTATGATGGGAAAACCATGGATTATGATGGGAAAACCATGGATTATGATGGGAAAACCATGGATTATGATGGGGAAAAAAAAAGTATGGGAAAACCACCCAAATCGAATGGATGATTCTGGATGATCATGGATTATCCATGATTATCCTCATTTTCCAATATTTTTGTTGCAGTGATTTTGGCATACGCTACACCTAGTCTCCCAGTTTTGGGATCGCTTCCAACGCCTAGGCGCTGTGGGATTGGGATGGCCCAGACACCTTGATCCTGCCGGGTGACAAGTACTCCATCGAAATGAATCCCGACGAGCCAGCCAATGCGCCGCAGAGATGGTTTAAGGAGGATACCGGAGGAGAGCGTTTGGCGGGGCGTGAAATCGATGTGGGGAAGTTTTCCGGGACCAATGAAACAGATGATGGGTTTCCTACGAAGCAAAAGACGACAACATCCGGATTTGCAAAAGAGAATTTAGAGGAAACAAAACCAAAAATACCATGGAGTATGATGGAGTATCATCATGCCCCATTTATTTGATGACCAGTTGGGCATAGCATTTTCAGATGGGTGACTCGAACTCAGAGGCCAAAGTGGTGAATCATAGGTTTCATAGGTTCAACTTCAACCGTTGTTGTTTTGCTATAATTTTCCTACTACTTGGGAGTGCAGTTCCATTATTATTACACATTATAATTATACCCGAGTTATATATTTAATATACATAATAATCACTAGTCACATATGATATTTATATATATATATAGGTTATAAACCACTCACAAACTGGGATTCACATCCAAGTACCCAGCTAGGCCACACAACAGACAATTAGATGTTTTTTAGCATGTTTGTTCTTACGGCGTGACAATGGTCTCTATAATTCTTAATGGATGGCTAATGGCTATGTTTTTTTTTTGGGGGGGGTCCTGGTTCTATGATGTTCTGCTTCTCTGCTTCTCTGATTTTCTGCTGCTCTGCTTTTCTGCTTCTCTGCTTCTCTGCTTTTCTGCTTCTCTGCTTCTCTGCTTTTTGCTTTCCCTGCTTTTTTGCTTTTCTGCTTCTCTGTTTTCCCTGCTTTTGGGCTTCTGTGCCTTTCTACTTCTACTATTCTACTTTTTCGTTTCTTCAGTCATGTGTTCTTGCTGCTCTACTTCTTGCTCCTCTGCTTCTTTGCTTCCCGTCTTGACTGCCTCTTTGTTTTTCATGTTCTTTTGCTTTATTCTTTCCTGTTTGTAATCTAAATGAAACCCTAGAGAGACCCTAGGTGAACCCAAAGAAACCCTAAACCTGATAAGAAACCCTACCTGAAACCGTAAATGACCCCTAAAGAAACCATAAATTGACCCTAAAGAAACCATAAATGTAACCTTAAATAAATTTTAAATGACACCATAAATGACATCCCAAAGAAACCCTAAACGACACCCTGAAAAAAAAAACTACATGAAACCTTAACTGAAGCCCTAAATGAAACCCTAAATTGACACCCTAAAGAAACCCTAAATATTTAAACCCTAAATTGAAACCCTAAATGAACCCCTAAATTAAAACCCTAAAGAAACCACAAATGAAACCCAAAAGAAACCCTAAAGAAACCCTAAATGAAACCCTAAAGAAACCCTAAGTGGAACCCTAAATGAAACCCTATATAAATTGAAACCCCAAAGACACCTTAAATGAAACGCTAAAGAAACCCTAAATGAAACCCTAAAGAAACCCTTGATAAAACCCTGAATGAAACCCTAAATGAAACCCTAAATGAAACCCTAAAGAAACCCTAAATATTCAAACCCTAAATGAAACCCTAAATGAAACCCTAAATTGAAACCCTAAGTGAAACCCTAAATGAAACCCTGAAGAAACCCTAAATGACACCCCAAATGAAACCTTAACTGAAGCACCCTAAACAAACCCTAAATATTTAAACCCTAAATGGAACCCTAAATGAAGCCCTAAATGAAACCCTAAATGAAACCTTAAATGAAACCCTAAATGAAAGCCTAAAGAACCCTCAAGAAACCCACATGAACGTTTGAAGTACCAAAATGTAGTGAATACCATGCAAATGAGAGGTTGAAGTGCCAAAATGTGGCAAATACCATGCACAATGGAAGGCGAACATTGCCAAATGTGACAAATACCATGCAAAATGCAAAGTGACCATGCCAAATGTAGCAAATACAATACCATGCAAAATGACAGGTTCTAGTTCCAAACTGTTGCAAATACAAAGCAAAAAAAATCAAACCTGAGGCCTGAGGCCAAAAAAACTATTCTACAGCCATTCTTAACCACAGAACGCGGCACATGACCCAGCGCAGACATGATACAAAGGACAAGTGCGGAAGTGATTCGGAATTAGCTCGAATGTTGTTGATCAACAAACACTTCTATTTTCAAGGTGATCAACACTAGTATGTTCAAAGCCATGGTTTCCATTGGTTTCCTGGCTGATGGAGTTCCCTTTGGTCCAGACTCATGACGCCTTACAGGAGAGCCGGATGATGGGGAAGAGGACTTCTATTGCCGCCGGGATTTGGATTCAGATCTGGGCCCCAGGGTTTTGCAAAACAAGTCGAAAAAAAACACATTCGAACATGATGTGGGTGTGTCTGAAAATATATGACTGGTTGGTGGTTTGGAACCATGGAATTTTAATGAATTTTATGACTTTCCCATCATATTGGGGATAGTAATCCCAACTGACGAACTCATATTTTTCAGAGGGGTAGGTATACCACCAACCAGATGAACATGTATGAGTCATATCCCCCAAGTCATGGCATGTACCATGTTATTCATCAGAAAATATCAGAAAAATGTGATAAAGTCACTGGATTTTGGGGTGTTCCCCTAGATGTTGGTATACCAACTGGTGATTCGTTTGTTGCGGTAATTGTGCTCTGGAATGTCCAGTTGGTCTACTTGACGACTGTCACGGGTCCTTAGTTTAGCCGCATTTCCACCAATTTCAAGGCTATAAAATTGAGGCCTTATCCCATCTTCTCCCTGATATGTTTGGGATGAAGCCATCAATGGGCTTTCCGAGTCCATCGTTTGAGTCCAGGTATTTCTGGAGCTTTTAATGACTTTGCCTATGAGTCAATGGAGGACACGGGCTGCGCATGGCTGCGCTGCGCTGCTATAGCGCCAAGCTGTGATGGGTTTGACGTGGGCTTGCTATGACCCTGTGAAAGGTCGAAAGATTGTATTGAAGCACACAATGGCCAGATGCTCCATGGTGCTGGAATATTTCCCTAAATGTAGATAAATATTGCATACATGCAGCATCTGGGAATGTTTTGTCAGTGTGAACATGACATTAGATGATTTGCGGTGGTCTTCCCAAAAGACAGAGGCAGAACGCTGATTTTCAGTGGAACATGAGGAAATAAATGTTCCGCAAATCAACGGGCCTTTCTCCAGGACGGACCAGTGACTGGTTTGCGAACGATCACAGTGAAAGTGCCCGCTAGTGGGCAAGTGGAATTTCGCATCTTCAAGAACTGGACTCTGTGGCTATGGTGGGAGAAATGCTGGATGACATGGACAAAACCGAGGATTATATATCTGGGTAAATTATAACGACCGAACCCTGTTCTCCCTCACTGGAATCATGGTCAATAAGAGGAATCAAGCCAAAATGGCCCAACATGTCAGGTTAGTGAATTATTATAATTTACCCAGATATATGCCAAAGGAATGCATAGACAGAATAGATGTGTGATGAGGTCCAGGTACCCCCATTTAAGGAGTGTTCAGTATCCAAGTTGCTTCGCGTTCGCGAGTTCCTGGGAGATCCTCAGAGGTGACCCTTCGGTTCCCGGTAGCGAAGCCGCGGGGGTAACTTTCATCATCCATTAAGGCCATGGCTGATAAAGATCAGGGGGTCATTTGTTTCTAAGCATCAAATATGGAGAAAACATGAGTGTGTTGATAAATGGTTGGTTGATTTGGTTGCTTGAAAAAATCTGGAAAAGGTTAAAACCAACTCGATCCCCAATATATCATTGATCATCTTCATCATCCTCATCCTCATCCTCATCATCCTCCATTATGGCAACCCCTATGAGTCCCTATAAGTAACCTCTGGTAATTTAACATACTTGTGGAAAATCACCATAGAAATAGTGAATTTTCCCATGAAAAATGGTGGATCTTTCCATGGTTATGTAAACGTTTACCAGAGGGTAAATCCCATTAAATCCCATTAAACCACCATAAAAACTCACTAAACCACCATTTTCCTATGGTTTTCCTATGGTTTTCCTATTACATTTACCTATGGTTTCTCGGGGTTTTCTCATTGCTCTGAGGAATGAGAATGGCTCCAACCAGGTCATCTATCCTGGCGCAGATAAGTGTACCAGAAAGCTCCAGGTGATCTATGGTCCATTGAGTGACTTGGCGCTGACAAATCCATGGTTTTTCCCAGGCAATCTATGATCTATAGGGAATCTCTAGGGATATCTCTACAATGTGAGGCCCCCAAGATAGCTAAGTTGGTTTATAACTCCAATAACCATGGTTTATGGGGGTTATATCTATAGTTACTGGGGCTTATAAACCAACGTTCACATCACTGGGGGGCCTCACATTGTAGGGGAATCTCTAGGGATGTGTCAATTTTAAGGGACTTCTGGAGCAAATCCAACGTTTTTCTTGGTAAAGATGACGAGCGGCTCCCACAAAATCCAATTCGTTGGGATTGCTGAAAGTTTGATGTTTTTTTTGCATGTTCCAATTGATACCCTCTGGTTATGTCAGAATAGCTATTGAAAATGGCCATAGAAATAGAGGATTTACGCAGCTATAAAATGGTGATTCTCCATAGTTATGTAAACGTTTACCATTTTTTAAGTTTTAAAAGCATGATGAAGCATTCCATGACTGGAAATCCAAACTGTGGATCTCGCAACTCGCACCTCACAACCTAGGCGAAGATCAGGCGCCCAAGAATAGCTGGCTAGCTGAGGGTATTCCAAATTCCTTCCTGAAGATCGATTTCTTCTGCTGCCGAGGGATTAAGAGCATTAACTGGATGGAAGCGCCACCCGAAGCCATCATGTGAAGCTTGGAACGTCTTCCAGCGTGAAAAGAGTCGCGGTTGATCGGCGGAAGCGGAATTGGCATCGAATATCATAAGATTATAAAGAATATCCAGGATACAACATGATACAAAGTGATATTTTCATGATCCCTTAACCCATATGCTCCATGTATGGTATATTTATGTACATTTGGGAGATTTTTGGGGCAAATGTTGGTAAATATTCCATACATGGAGCATATGGGTAAGAGTATCAGATGATTAGTGATATTGAATGATCAGGATGATCAGACTTCTTTTTCAGCTGACCTTATCCTTGAACTGTGGCGATCATCCGAGCAGGTGAAAATTTTGTTTAACGAAAGGCTGGGGCGCCCCACTTAAGTGATCCAACTGTTGGTTTATAAGCCCATCCACGTGGTTTGATATCCTCTGGTTATTTAACATAGCCATGGTATAGATGACCCTAATCGAAATAGATGGTTTACCGAATGTAAAAATGGTTATTTTCCATGGCTATGTTAAATCACCAGATGGATCCAGATGGTATATCCACCATCCATTAACCTGTCAGACCTATCACTAGTTCGATCTATGGTGGGTTTCCTAGTTGCCTACCCAGGGTACCCCGATTCATCGCTGGATGATTTGGAGGGACCTCCATTTCAGCAAAGCTCCATATCCACCTAATCAACATTAGAAATCACCAAGCTTATAATATGGGTTTATGTCATGATATATATATATATATATATGTATATATTCATAACCTCAGATATAGGATGTTATATCTACATCAGACTAACTCTGGTTGGTGGTTTGGAACATGAATCTTATGACTTTCCCAATGAATTTCATCATCCCAACTGACGAAGTCCATTTTTCAGAGGGCTAGGGCGAAAAACCACCAACCAGTCAAGGTATTCACCAAGTTACAAACCAACTTACAACTTAGCTATGCAACGAGGGTCACCGCCAGTTCGGAACATCGCCAGGTGTTGGGTGCGATGCTCAGTTCTACGGTGGTCGGGTTTGTGACCAACGTGGTCATCTAGGTCAATGGCCAACGTATGCATCCAGTCGTCATGGGGGTTTCTGACATGGGGGATCCCCAGTACCATGTCACCATGGATGATTTGGAAACAACCATGACATGGATGATTTGGTGATATATACCATTGGTTTTCTATAGTTTGGTCATCCATGACTTGGATGATTTTTTATGGCCCTGATTGGCAATATTTGGCAATATTTGGCAATTAGTGTGAAATCGGGATAATATGCGAAAAATCATCGAACATCAATATTAATATTACCAACCCTAAAAACCCTAAAACTTAGGCTCTGAAAACGGTTTAAACGCCATTTATGAACCTTCCGAAAAAGACACACAGCGCCCGGCGATTATGTTAATGGATCTTGACCAAGAGCTTTGGATTTTGCGGGTACCCAATTTTTGGACAAACCAATCTCTGCTGGCATCGGTCGGAATCCAGCTTTAGATCCATTCATTTAGCGATGGGACCTTCCCAAAATTTGTTGATTTCACCCATAATCTGAGCTGTCTGCAAAAACTGCACCATATATTTGGTAGGGCTGGAAGAGGAAGCAGCCCCTTTTGATGGTGCCATTTTCGGATTGATGTGTCTTCATATCTTTAGTATCTGACCAGATATCACCACTATTGCTGGATGGTGTTCATGAAGTTAAGTTCCAGGGCCGAGTTTCGTGAGTCACCAAAGTGATTACCTTCCGGTACTCAAACATGGCATTGGAAAACATAGATGCCCTTTGGTTATTTAACAGTTCGCCATGGTATAGATGGCCCATAGAAATAGATGGTTTACCGAATGTAAAAATGGTGATTTTCCATGGCAAACTGTTAAATAACTAGATGGTACATGGAGACTCAGTGAGAAAATGCTGTGCTGGATCCACGTGGGAGGGCTAGGTCTCCGGCAAGGTCTCCGTCTGTAACTCATCACTCGGTGGATCACTTTACCCGGTAAGGGATATCAATCATCTTGGTCAACGGGCAGACTTGGTCAACGTGTCTGATACATACAGTGTATGTACACATAATGTATGTACATATATAGTCAAGCATATTTATATATATATACATAATATATATATATATACATAGCATCTACATTTACATATTATATAATATATGAACCTTTTTCGTGGTATCAATGAATCAATGATCGGTCGCAAGGCGCGGGCCACCGATGATGCCCAAGTTGCCGTGCTTCGGTGGGGGGCGCTTGAGTCGGTCGTCCAGCGAAGCCGTGATTTTAATTTCGTTTTAATGGAGTTATAAGTGGCTGAATTCTATGGTTTATGGTAGATATAACTATAGTATTCATGCAGGTTATAATGGTTTATAAACCAACTTATAACTGGGGGGCCCTATCCTGTACCCAGATTGGGAATGGTTTAAACCACCTGTAAAAATGGTGATTTAGGGGATGGTTTATGACATTGTTTTACCAACATTATACGGAGATTCAATGGAACTGTAACCCAATATGCTCCATGGTGCTGAAATATTTACCAACATTTGCCCTAAAAATCACCCAGTTTTGTAGGTAAATATACCAGCACCATGGTTCGCATATGCGATAGTAAACATGGGATCTAAAACAAAACATTTCATGGGGTAATGGGTTATATAGCCAGGTGACAATAACTAAGATATACTGATATACTAAGATATTAACTATAAGTGATGGACTATAGTGGGTGATTTCATTGGATTTTCATGGTGATTGAATGACATAATAATGGTATAAAGGATCAACACATGGGATCACTAGCATAATAACCATTAAGTGTGGTGATATTCAAACATTAAACATGAAGATTTAATTTAAGTATGGGTGAGAACCTGGACTCCTTGTGGAATTAACATGTTGGAAAACCATTACACATCGAGATATATTGGGAGTCATAGGGGGTATAAAACCAACTATGTCATGGTGATTTCATGGGACATATAGCCAGTATTATGATCATTGAGTTTGTCTGAAAACAGGGTATAGAATTTGGATAATGATATACAACAGAGATTCAACATATTCTTTAAAACAAAGCCTTAAATCTTTGGGATGATTCAATGAACGTATCTGAACATGGTTAAGAAAATGATATGGTCAAATTACCTTATTTTTAAAACACATTCCTGTAAGAAATTTGCACAATTTTAGTATATTATGTGTTGGGGATGATTGCTGAAATATCTTGATATACATGCTACATCTACACATATATCATGTTTTTCTGGCCACTCGCGAAACATCAGTGTCTCTTAAGGGGCATGGCCGGCATGGCCGGCATGGCCGGCATGGCCCAGATGACACGTGATTCCTTTCGGATGTATATATAAGAGAGGTATATAAGTCTGGGTATTTTTTTAACGACCTCACTGCGACCTCACTGGAAATCATGGTTAGTAAGGGAAATCATCCCCAAATGACCTTAATTCAGGTTGGTGAAATATTATAATTTACCCAGATATATAATATAAGAAAGGTATATAAGTATGTAACAGTACGTATATCTAGTAAAAAAAAATGCTGCAGCGGCCCCGATGGATCAATGGTGGGTTGTGGAGATTTTAGCCATGAAAACATAGGGAAAATTTGTTGCTTTCGCTGAGAACAAATATGTTTGATTTGTGAGAACCAAGTTCGTTTCGTTCACTACAATATATACGTGTTGGATTTATGGTGAAATTGTCGAACTAACTAGTTAGATGAGGCTATAGACTATAACAGACCAACTTATATCTGGGCGGGCCCTCCTGTTTTTTTTCCCATAGCAAACTGTGAGAATTTGTTCAGAGTTCATATGATTTGAAAACCTTCACTTGGCGACACTGCGAAAAAAGTGACCAGCCCAAAGCAGCCTGGCTTCGTCAGTTGAAGCGACCTGGCTTTGTCTGATGGAGTAACCCCAAATCCACTGGTTTATCATGTCCCAAATACTAAACTGCCATTTGATGGGCAAAAAAAAGAGAAAACCAACTTCAGAATTTCGGTCTTGGCACATCACCAATGAATAGCAAGAAGTCATCACCAAGTTTCTAGTACCTCTGGTAATATCAATATATTGGAAATAGTGTAACATGTCCCTGTTTCTAAAAGTATCATACATTCGTTTCCACTATGTCCAGCATTTTGAGTGTCCAGTGTTGCTGCGTAGGTTTGTGATCTCATAGTTAGTTGTATCCTTACTCTTGATCCAGTTGGCAGGGTTTGCCTCGTTCTCGTACTACCTACGATGTGGTGCCCCTTTTGTGAGTTATTATATATATAATATGTTTTTTTGATAAACTCATCCAACTATAGATACATGCGCAATAAAACAAGATAGCCGAGTGATAAAGCAACTTCGCTAAGGGGCATCACTTTGTAGGATGATCTCAAGTGGCAACATTTTTTCCAGCGAGAAATCGGTCGTTTTATTGGACCACAATCCACCGCCCTGGCTTTGGGATTGGATCAGCTCTACTGTATATCTATTCCTATTTACCATACAATAGAGATGCCAAGTATACTTAATATCTTAGTATATCTTAGTTATTGTCACCTGGCTATATAACCCATTACCCCATGAAATGGTTTGTTTTATATCCCATGTTTACTTTCCCATATGCGAACCATGGTACTGGAAAATAAAAACGTAAAACACTGGGTGATTTTGGACCAGGGCAAATGTAGGTAAATATTCCAGCACCATGGTTCGCATATGGGATGTGCCAAGTATAGGTATGATGATACCAGACTGATCATGATTGATACTAATCATGTGTAGATATACATCATTTATACCCTCTGGCACACATACAGAAAACTATGGAACATCACCATTTTAATTGGTAAACTCACTATAAATGGCCATTTTCAATAGCTATTTTGACAGAACCAGAGGGTATATGAACCATGGTGATGAATATTCAACTAGATGAACCCCTCATTTTATGGCCCAATTTTGAACGGTAACTATTCCAGCATCATGGTTCGCATTTGGCTGTGAGTTGGGTTCACTACATACTATATATACAATATATACAATACATATTTCACCGGTCACCATTCATACTGCAGTGTATATTTAATAATGATATAAATATATACATCATACATATATATATATATTATGTGTAATTTTATATGATTGTTTTCTATACTATACCATGATACACACACTACTCACATTGCATAAAATGATTTGTAATTCCTTATAACTGCTATTTAAATCCCTATAAATGGATGATAGTTCTTGGATCCAGGTGGTGGCGCGCCACAGTCACAGGCGCCATTTTGTTTGGGCTTGGCTAAGCATTGCGTTTGTTTTGTAGCAATTAACCCCTCAAAAAAAAGGATGGACCAGCGATTCTTTTACTATTTTAGGGGGATCTTTCTGACTTTTCAGAAATGGATGCTCAATTTATTTTTCTATTTATTTTACTATTCTGCATCTTACGACACCCTGGTTTTGAATCCAAAGAGTCAAGGGTTCTCCTGTAGGTTTGGTCTCAAAACAAGACCAAGGGACAGTATTTGGGTTGTGAATGATTCTATTTGACTGAGATATTTGTTGCTTGTCCATGATATCTCAATGGTTTGGGCTTTCGCATTTGTGCTCATCCACATTCGCAGCACTGATATGTAATCATTTCATGGATCCTATTTTGGCTTTCAAAATAGGATCCATGTGGACAGTATCCGAAGTATCCCCACCATTATGAGTTCGATAGATCATATACCCTTTGGTTATTTAACATAGACATGGAAGCCATGGCCCATTTATAGCTGATTTTCCCAAAAAAAAACATCCATTTATAAGGGATTTTCCATGGCTATGTTAAATAACCAGATGGTATGTTTTTTATTGCTGGTCCACTAGTTTTCCGGGAATTGAGGAAGAAACGTGGTCGTGGCTTAGTTATTTTGAATGAGCTAGAAATGAACGATCCCCAGATTTGTTTGGTGAACTGAACATTGCCTCAAGCTATTTAAAATGCCTAGAGCACTGGAAACTAAAATTATACATGGGATAAGTAGGTTTAATCCACTTATAACTGGGGTGAAATAACCCACTTACTAAGTGGGATGAGCCACCGAGTCACATATTTACGGTGTTTCATAGCTACCAATAGTTCCCAACTGGTGCAGAATTTATTGCATCCACAGTACGTATGTTGATCCAAAGAGTAGTGACCACATTCCAACAATCCAGGACACCCCTATATGTCATTGGAAAAAAAAAAACATAGTTTCCTGTATGTTTTGTTTCCCTCAAACCAATCCATTGATGTTTGCCATTAAATTTCCTGAATTGTTTTCATTGTTTTGGGAACGTATATAATGTGTTTCACATTATAACCCCAGTTTACATTGTGTTTGTTCCCTAAGAAAAAACAATCTATAATTCTAGTTTATAATACGGGCTTATGTCATGATATATATATATATATTCATAACCTCAGTTCTTGGATGTTATATCTACATCAAACTAACTCTGGTTGGTGGTTCGGAACATGAATTTCATTGTTCCATATATTGGGAAGTTCATCATCCCAACTGACGAGCTCCATCATTTTTCAGAGGGCCAGGGCTCGACCACCAACCAGATAATTACCATATATTACCATCAATAATCATTGATAATCAATAATCATTAATCATCAATAATCATTATTAAGGGTTTTTAACAACGTTAATAATAATTACCAACCAGGAAGATTTTCCCCTTGCCACCAGCTCTTTGTTGACCATACCTGCAGATCAAAGCCCAATTCGGCGCACTCATCCCTCGCAGGCGGACTTTGCTAAGCAGATGATGAACATCGGCTTCATGCCTGTGCCGCCACCAGTGGTGCCTGAGGTACCCCTGCTGGAGCGAAGGTGGTTGGCATGGCTTCCCCTTGGTGATGCAAGGAGGATATATTAATATACTGTATAATATATATATATATATACACATTGAATATATGTATATATAAAGATATACATGTATAATAGTTTTTTTGATGCTTGAACAAATACTTGGATTTTCCTGGTCATGTTTGGGCAATTTCTGGCCACTGTTTGGGCATATATGCATTATATCAGTGATATGCTGGGGATGAAATGGGATATGTTTGACCTGCCATGCTGAATGGCGGATTTAGCAGCAATTTGTGGTTGATAGCAATGTACATATGGAAAACAAAAACGGAGAGAATCATGGGATATAAAAGAACTAATATGATATTTGGAAAGTTTGATGGTTCAAAACAAATGGGCTGATCAATGACATGAATTGAATTCTGCAGCTTGTTAGCTGCCAGCTTTTACCATGTTTTGCGGCGTTGGATGCCTCAAGTTTTTCCGGCTCAAAATACCCCGAGAGACAGCTGACCAAAGCTGGTAACCAAAAAAAAAACGGCATGTGTAAGTCCGAAACTTACGTGCTGGACGCCAGCTTCAATCCCGAAGAGTTTGTGGAGGATATCAAGAAGGCAAAGGCTGCCGTAGGAGAAGCTAGCCACGAGGACGGTGAATGGAACGAATGGAAGGGGTACTCTTTGGGACCTACGTGCTGTCCCCGTTGGATAGCTAAGTCGGTTTAGTTCAAAACAACAAGTGTTGAGTTGATTCGGGGAATATATATATATATATTATGTACATATTATATACTAATAAATGGAACTAGTTAGATGATGTTAGATTGTGTTGAAAATCCAGAAACATATCCGGACTGTGGGGCCCACTTCTTTAAACACGTTCATCATATGAACAAGTTCCATTTCTCAAAGGTCCTAGAGCATTGATCCACTTTGATCCACTTTGATCCAGAAGATGGTTGCGAAATCCTGCACCAGTTGGTAGATGCAAGAAATCCCCAAACTTACTGTCCCAGTATTTCATAGCTATCCCAATAGTTCCCAACTGGTGCAGGATTTCGCAACCCCAGTGTCACTAACTCCCCCATCGAAAGCCAGCGATGCCAATTCTCTTTGCCACCTGAGCAGTGGCTGCAAAACCCCTGTTGCTTGATGATCACTTCGGGGATTATACTAATCTTCACATATTTTCTGGTTGGTGGTTTCAAACATTTTTTATTTTCCATAATATATGGGATAATCCTTCCCATTGACCAATATTTTTCAAGATGGTTGAAACCACCAACCAGTTTTGCAACATCACCATCCATATTCAGCAACAAAAACTCCCCGTTCTCAACCAATTGTTCAATGGACGACTTCTCCTTCACAGCCAAAAAAAATGAACAGCCACCGGAGCTGCCACCGCCATTCACACCACAGGATGCGCAGCACTTGCAACGCTTGGTCTTCATTTCTCAAGTCCTTCTCTACGGCGGACATGTCCTGCTGCTGACCGGTGCAGCGTTGCCGTTCGGCGCGACAGCGCTGCTGAGTCTCAGCGCAGGCGAGTTGGTTCCTTCCAAATCTGATTGGGTCATGCAAGATTGCTATAGTCAATGGATTTTTTTTTCCGGGAACAACTATAGTTTTCACACCCACATTTCATAGAATCCGAAAGCCAATCCTGTAGATTTTCCCTTAAGATCCCTTAATCCATTGGTACAGTTGGGGATTTGTTGACAGTCATGACATGGGTCATTAAATGTCCCCATTGAACATCACCCAACCATTAGGTATATGGTCTATAATGGCTACTATAAGGTGATGTCCAATATTCCCAAAATGGGACAGTTACCAACCCCTGCATGAGTCATGACTCCTGTGATGTTTTGCAGGTGCCTTGATGATCGCCTACGCGAGGTGCATGAAATGGGCCATCATTGGACACCACGTGTCACATGGAGGTCCGACGATGCCGTTGCCGCCTGGGGGGCATTGCCTGCTTGGCACCACCTGGGATGGTAGAAAGCCTATAAACAATGGAATGGGATAAACCACCTAGAAAATTGAAACATGTTGAAACCCTATAAATAATGGGATAACCATGGATAAACCACCTATCAACTGGCGCAGGATTTCGCAACCATCCACCGTATGTTGGGCAAACATGGGCGAAAATTCGATGATATTTTGTTTACGAATTATAGTTTACGAGTCATGATTTACAGAAGCAGAAGTCAACCCTGTTGGAGTTGACGTCCCAAGATTGAGTTGTTCAAGGGTATGTATGATAATCGATGTTCTGCCTTGAGAGTATGATTCGATTACAATTTGGAGAACACCTGGAGTGAAACAACTTGGCAGCCTGACTGAAAACAGCCCCAGTACCAAGCCGGTGACTTGCCACATTCTCACGAGGGGTTGCTCCAACGGTTGACGGCTTAGTTTTTCCCGACCTCACGAAACGGGATTTGGGATGATTTGGGGTAACTATTGAATAACTATCCTCAAAATGGCAAAACAAATCCGGTCAGTGACTTTTGATCATTTATCCAGATTGCTTGATTTTAAGCCTCTTTTTCAATGACCCATTGGGTGCAATTTCCAGTGGCTCTGCGGGACCAGGCTATGACAGCTTGCAGAAGAACCATCCGGATGCCCTGCCCAAGCATTACAAGCGAGGAGTTTTTGCCATTGGCTTCCGCAGGTTCTTCGATTGGCTCCTATGCTTTGCATTGGTGCTGCTGAATGGAGTTGAAGATGTTCCCATGAAATCCAGCTGGGGGAATGGATGGTTTCCTTTTTAAGGAAGGATGGGGTCCTTGATCAGATCCAAGGAGGATGAAATTCTTCAGGTGATGTTTTTTGTTCATTTCCCGAAATGGACAATCTACCCGCTTGGGAATTCGTGTTTGGGCAATCTACCCGCTGGTATTGTTACATAGGTAATTATTGAAAATCCCCCATAGAAATACTTGATTTTCCCATCAAAAATTGTGATTTTCCATAGCTTTCTGTTTGTTTACCAGGGGGTACAGGTTTGTCTGAAAAGATGTTATCCCATGGCATCCACGGGTGAATTGTCTCCTGCGTCCTGACTCAAGATTGCTAAAAAAATGGTGATTAGACAGTAGACTGACTCAGTCACTGACTCCATTTGTCCGACAGACCCAAATATCATAGTGGTTGTTATAGATACAGTGCCATTATATCCAACAATATCCCCATTATTACCTCATGATATCCTCATATAACCCATTTCATCCCCAGCATAGTTTGGTTTATGTGACCAGTAAATTATGTACAATGTGAGGCCCCCGTTCGATAGCTAAGTTGGTTGAAAAACTTTAATAAGATTAGGGGGTTATATCGAACTAGTTACTGGGGCGAATCTAAACCAACGTTCACATCACTGTGGGGGGGCACCACCTTGCAGGTACCCAGGTACCATTCACTATTCTATCCCCATGGTATCACCATGATATCCATCACCACATATCCCAGAGTATGACCAATGATAAATTACATCAAGTACTAGTCAATCTGTCATTCCTGTGCCTCCAAAATGGGTGTACCTCCAAATCATCCAAAATTAGATCAGTTTGGTATTGAAACCTCTGGTGTGGGGTTTCCCATTTCAAGACATATCATGACATATCCCATTGTTGCTAATGAATCGGTATATTCCTATATATTCCCACAATACATCCTCTGTGTTTATTTGGAAGCTGGGTGTTTTCGCTTGACGTGTCCACTGTCGCTTAGCGGCTTCAGGTTGGATTGGATGTTGCCCCAGGCTTGGGATGTGGAGCATAACAAGGCCCACCACTACTACCTCTCAGAGGCGGGCAACGGTGATTGAAAGCCGTTAAGGCCTCGAGTTTGTGTCACCTGTTGTTTTTGTTTTTTTTTAATGGGGATAAACTATATCTGATTGGTGGTCTGGAACCATGGAATTTTATGACTTTCCATTCAGAAAAGGGAATTTCATCATCCCAACTGACGAACTCATCTTTTTCAGAGGGGTAGGGCTCAACCACCAGCCAGATAATTACCATCAATATTCATTGATAATCAATAATCATTAATCATCAATAATCATTATTAAGGTTTTTTAACAATGGCAATAATAATTACCAACCAGGAAGCTAGGAAAAACAAGGGTTCAATCCACTCTCAGTATTTGATGGAGATAAGCTATTGGTTGCCACCGATAGAGCCCTGGAAAACATCTTGATATTTCATCTATATTTCCAGAAACAATAGCTTATTTTGGTAAGTATTTTGGCTTATATATATATATATACATATATCTGGATATATATATATATATATACACATAAGATATAGATATAGAATATCAATATCAATATAACTATAATACTATATATATATATGTACACATACATACAATTATACATACCTTTATTAATTATCCCTATGTATTCGAGATAGATTGAATGAAACTTTCGAGTTGACCGAACTTTTTTTCCAAAGCCAACGTTGGGGGGTGAGGAGTTCACCAACATTGTTGCTATGTCGTTCTTTGTCGTTATTTGTCCTTCTATCTTTTTGGATTTTACCCTACAATAATCAGCAATATGACATAATATGATGATGTTTCACAGGATATAATGGGATATAATGGAAAATTATATAATTGAAATGGTAGTGGGAAACTAATGCAAGAATAGTGGAAAGTTAATGGACAACTGATGGGAAACTAATGGGGACAGAATGGGAATAAATTGGAAAATTTGTGGTTTACCCAACTATATGGCAGTCAAGCAAGAAAAATGAGAGTTTATCAAGAAACAATGGGGATGAACAAAACATACATACTTGGAAATCTTGGAATATGTTGGGTGCCGTTTTGGGGGTATATAGCAAACAATATGAAACACACACATATATATACCTTGAAAACCCAACCCTGCAAAATTTTAGGCATGGGCTGAAATCAACTCAAAAAAAGTCATCTCAAAGAAAAAAAGGCATCGGAAGTAAAAAAAGGAATTGTTGGGTGCACACATCCTTTCTGCCCGCTCGCTTCTTTCAAGCAAATCCTAAGCTGCTCGATTTGATGAATGCCTGGGATTGCCTGGCACTCAGACATCGGAGAAGGCCCCAGGAAGGATAAACAAAGCAACATAATGAATGATGCCAGTGATTCCCCAAACTTAAGGAATTTGATTGGAACTTGTTTTTGGTTTATCTTTATCTCTTCCTTTTTTGGGCATTCATCCTGCGCAGCCTCGCTTGAAATGCAACTCCATACCTTTGGAGGGTTCTGAGAATGGTAAGTCTAGGACTTACATGGCGACTGATGCGCGAGACCTTCCCTATAAAGTCCTCGTTCATTTCGCAATTGAATATTGCAGGACTCAAAGTTTGAGGGTGTGAACTCTCATAGGACCCCTTCATCTCGAAAATTGTATGGGCCCAATAGTGAAATTTGGGTCGCATGCAGAACAAACGTTTGCGGTCCTGTTCCAAAGCAACCCGACCACAAAATGAATATGCTCTTAAAGCACACAAGCCTTGTTTCATCATGTAGCCTGCACACCCATGCGGCAGCCACAGGTCGTGACTATGCATCACGCCAAGGAAATTCAAAGTGCCTTGGACAAGTTTATGCATTGCCGACAAAACATATTTGTCATGGTCATCACGTGGGTTGCGCTGGGCCAGTTGCAAAAAAAAGTCCAAGAACATCAACACCAGGGTCACATCAGCTCCCTTTCCACCAAGAAATGGAAAAGCCGCTGCTTTGGTAAAGTGCAAGTTTGCACGGGTGAAATTTTTCAAGGATGACACTTTGTGTTCGGATAAGCACCATAGCTTAAACATTTGGAAAGCTCGGCTGAGTCTGTCTGGCAAATTCCGGGAATCACCATCATCATCGAAATATGTTCGGTATGCCAACATCAGCAATATAGATGCACATGCTTCCCGACCAACACCATGCTTGATCGTATGGAACATATCCCTCTTGTAGAGAAAAGCTGGATACTCATTGTCATTGCTGAATGGCACCGTCGACAAAGGCGGCGTAGTAGCCGGGTTCCATGGGACCGAAGATCCAACCTCATGTGCAGAGGGAGCTTCCAGGTCTAAGTTATAACGATGAATCTTTATATTTAGATCAATATACAAGCTTGGTGTACAAATCTGTTATCATCATATATACCCGATCAAAAAAATAATGAGTATTCTATTCTACCAAAAAGGTTGACACAACATAAGCCAAAATGGTTCAAGGCACCGTTGGTAGCCAAGCTGGGTTATCACTAACATCCCCAAAGTTGTCATCTGCTTCGCATTCTGGGCACATGTATAGATTGTTTGTGGTTCCCACTGTCATGAAAGATCGTAGGAATTCACCAGTTTCAACATGAAACTCGCAATCTCCCTTGACTCCAATCAGAGCGAAGTGGTATGTAGTGGAATCAACCACCACTCCATCCCAGAACAAAGATTGGAGATCTTTCGCCATCTCTGTAAGAACAGCTTGAAGGATAGCAGAGCTGTCGATGTGATAAACCGACCATGGAACACATGTGAAGAGGAATTTGGTCAAGAATTAATGTCCTAGGTTCAAATGATGCATGATAAGCTTGTACATGGGAAATCAGAAAAATGAACCACGTTCTTTATTTGATGGCTTAATTCACAATCCCAAACCTCACATCAACAAAATGATTTTATTTGGTTGGTTAACGACAAATGCCTTTGATCCTTGGTATCAAAAATCATCCAAACATCAACACTATTTTTTGGTGGCTTTTGAACCTCATATGTCGATGTGATGACAAGCCAGTCATGATGATATACTCAATGTTGGTTGTTTGATGGTCTGGGTATTGAACCAACACAAAGACAGGTTTGATATGATAATCACCCAAGGGTCCCAAGTTGTTGTGAGTTTGGGTTTTCTCCTCAGCATGCCGGCCGAGGCGTCTCCTTTTGATGGTACACCTGCTGGATGCTTCCTCCCCTTCGCTCCAGGCAGGACGCTCACAGCAGGACTGGCCAAGTCGCCCTGTATCATGTTTTTGATCTGCACGTTTTTTAACCAAAATCTCATCAGGAGTGTAACGAAGGTCATCAGGTAAGCCCCAAACAGACTCCCAGGAGTAGCAAGCTATTGGAGATTTTTTCAAGCTTCGTCCTTTGTCACCATGGACGCATATAGGGATTGTGGTGTGCAAATGTTCAGAATGGTGTTTGAACACTGCATGGGACGGTTGGTACAATTTGAATTTCTTCCAAAACTCCATGCATTTGGCTTCACCAGCCCGAAGATCAACACCACCAAATATCACTGCTGGGTTCTTCTGCAGAAGGTGTGTGGCCATGTCACCCACCTGCAGGGTACAAACACCCAATTTAGGATTAGTCTGGAAACCCCAAAGGAAAATGGTTCATGCATGATTGATGTGATATAATTGCATAATATTGGTTGATAAACAATCAAAGATCCGATGTTGATACATACAAAAGACATGTGAACTCAATTTCAAAAGGATCCAACGATTACAACCGCTACCCACCGACCTTGTAGTAGGGAATGTCTATGCTCTGGCCCCCTTCAACTGGACCAACCAAGATGTGCTTGATGGGAACTTTGAGGGACAACCAATACTTGTTCAGAACCCTGTGGGCATCCCGCTCTCCATGTGATACGTGGACTTTGCTAGCATCATGCAGGCTCTGGGCAGTCGCACCATCTTTGACTGCAGCACGAGCCAGAGAACCAAGCCGGCAAGCTGGGGCCTGGGAGGATGGGGAGAGAGATATTTATATTATAATATATATAATAACCATGTTGGTTTTGATAACACACTGCCATGAAGTTGGATTGGTATATGGTATACTGCACTTGGCCCCTGGCACCATCAGCCACTTGATCTGCCAAAAGTTCCAGCGTTGCCATTTTGTCCATATCATCGCCTGGCAGAAGGAAGTGGCAAGACATATAGTGGATTGGCAATATCTTGGCATAGCATTGTTCTGAAAACTATAAGAATGGATAAAAGGGAATATCATGGGAATATTATATCGCATCATCAAACCACTGAGCATGATCGCATCACCAACCTTAAGATTAACACCGACCCCAGCTATAAAGATAAATATATGGATTACAAAATGGTAATATATATTTATATTACCATTTTGGAATCCATATATTTATCTTTATAATCAATGTGGTAATAATCCAGGGTTGAGGAAATGCTTACTATAGCACCCAAGCAACAGTCTCACATGGGCAACTAATCTCAACGATGCATTACCCAATTTTCCATTCGCTGGCAGATGCTGAATCCAAAAATGGCTCCCCGCCATAAGCTCTCGCATCTGAGGCTACATTGCAGCTCATCAAGATTTTCAAGACTTTCGCTGTCGCTTTGGAGCAGGTGCCTTCGGGGCAGCACCTCTTTTGGGCGTCGGTGGTGGCTCACTAACAGCCTTCGCCTTGGCCACGGGTTTGGCCTTTGCAGCCCTTTTGGGTGCTGTCGATGCCCCGGACTTTGCCTTTGGGGTATCTTTCGGAATGACAGTCCTGCAGGTGTCATGATCAAACAATGTTTTAACTGATCTTTGTTTTTCTATCATGGGTTGATTCGCAAACATGATTACAAGATTACAAGATAGGTATATTTATTTAGAATATATGCAACCATCAAAAATATTATAATATGATGATCATGAGACCAGTCCTTGCTCGCTGTTCCAGCTGGAATGCTTCCAAGATCCTTAGAACATAGCACCAAATAGCTGAAATTCTGTTGTGAAGAAACCCCAAGGCCCAAACGCGCTCTTGGCTTTCTCCACCAAGATCTTCAACTCTGCTTCTTTCCTGATAATGTTTGCAGCTTGATCCAGCTCATGGTTTTCACAAGCTAAACAGTTGGTAAGTATGATCAAACATGAGTAAAGCTTTCCAAGACCCCAACTCAGTCGACCAACCATCAACGATTCCGGCTTGGTATTCTTCAGAAAGTTTGTCACCAAGACCTTCCAACGATTTGTAGAGGTTGTTAACCTTCTCCAAGATCCTGGGATCAAACCAACTAGGCAGCATGACTCTGTGGTTAACATGTAGAGCTGAAACTACCATGGGGGAAGAACAAATTAAATTCATTTACTAATGTCAAATGAGATTCTTTGTCGTCAGCTGCGATGCTGCCATGTCTGGTTTTGACAAACTGACTTTGATCAACTCCAGTTGGCCCATGCGTTTAGTGACTGCTGTTGCCACCTTGTTGAGAAGGGCACTTGATTGGTGAATCTCTTGGGAGTCGGGGTAACCAAGTCTTTTCAACAGCTTCACCGTTTCCACGACTGATGATGGCAACCCACCGGCAGGCACCGCACCATCTGGGGCAGAGCTTGCAGTTCCTGAGCGGCTCGGCAGAAAGAGGATATAGATGATTGGTGCTGGGGCTTGGGATCAATAACGAAACCAAACACATTAAAATATTTCACAGATTGTCATGTGTCAAAATGGATTGTTAATCCCAAACAAAAAATAATGATGGATTTGGTGTACATCATACTTGTTGGCATCCAGTTGGATGTGAATAATGAAATTTACTGTAGATGGTAAAAAATGGTGATGTTAATTTCAGTTTGCTAATCGAAGGGTGTAATCATAATTATATAAATGTATCATACTGTATAAACATACCTTTGGGGGACAAAGATTGGTTTACTTCAATCCATTAGGCATAAATTCAACAAGTGTACTGATAGCTGGATTGTAACGCTTTGTTATCTCATCTCGTGGTGATTGGTTGTATAGAAGATAATTGAACACATAGTTTGATCGTTAGCATGCTACATATAAACATGTTTCAGGATCAGTGAATGGCTCATTGGGTTAGCAAGACCACGGGGATGTTTGGGACAGGTGCCCATCAGGGTTGCGCATATCACACAAGTGTGGTGAATGGGTTTCTGATCTCTGTTATGGTTTTGGGTGATGCATCAACAGCTGTTTGATATATATATATATATATATTAGTGGTCCCATGATCATCCATATTTTTAAGTATTTTTCAATGATTATTGCATGTGCTGCATGTTCATCAAGAATGATCCAGAATATAACACTGACCATAATGCTGGATGAACTATTGGTGGTTTTACCCAGCGATGGTTTTGGCTTTTAAGTCCCCATGGTCGTTCATCAGGGCTGCTACTTTCTGAAATGGAATTGGGGAAATATATTGGTGATACTGAGATATGAATATATTATATATATATATATACAATTGCAATGTTTCATGGTGCTTGATCATTCATCATTTGGCATCCCTTAAATATCTGCACCATTTTGAAAAAATCATCAAGTATACTTGATGATTGTTTTTTCAAAATGGTGCAGTTTCATCATCATATAAGTGGTTATTCAATGGAAAGTTTGGATCCCATAATCCACCAGGAAAGCTATCTGGTTTTTGGGCCCCATATAAATTTACCAGCGAAGATCAAAGCAAAGGATGAGCAATCCCACCATCAATCCAGAAGGCATGGAATTCCAAAAAAACAGACCCAAAACCCAAGTATGTTTTTGTACATGTAATCGTTGGTGTTTTCCAGCCTTTCCGTTCAAGAGGTTTATACCAATCCAATCGACATACCCTATAGCATTTTTGTTTCGACAATCCAACCCCATGCACTTGATTTGTTTGTTGGGGCACCATGGACAATCTAAGCCATATATATTCAACCTGGAGCTGGCCCGACTAAGCCAGTGGCCTTCCAAAGGTGCATCCAAATCAATGTTGATGTTCACCCCAGTCTCTTCAGTCTCCCAGCTCTGGCTTTCAGAGAAAGACGCCTTCACCCTGTCCCTTAGAGAAACTGAAGCTGCTGATTACTTCATCCGAACACTGTTTAATAAATTGTGAAACACATGCTTTGTTTGAAAATCTTTTTGGCTAAGTGTCCTAATGATGATGCGACCTAGGCACTTGCTGTGACCACTGACTTCAGTCTCCACATAGTAAGTCCAATCGTCTTTTTGGGCATTCCACCTAGCAACCCCAAAGTATATATCATCATTCTTTGACATCGCAACTACAGCCGAAACTTTGTTGAACTCTGGTGGACATTGCACCATTTTACTTCGACTCAGGTAGATCATACACTCAGTCAACTTGGCTTCGGGCCACGGCTCTTCTTTTTGCCAAGGAATCTCGTCAAAGATGTGATGCAAAAGGCCAGCCACCTCCAGTTGGCAGAGGCTGGAAAGCAGGATGGTGGAGGAAGCATGCTGTTGAAAGCTTTACAACTATAACATGAACTCACATGGGCCTGTGGGACTTGTTTGATCTCTCGTGCTAAATGCACAAAAGCTGGAATTGTTTCCACAACCTTTGCTGCGAACTTCTTCGGGTAATGCCTCAAATGAACATTCGAGGTCAGAGGTTAGGGGCATAGAGGGTTCACACATCTATTTTGATCAGTGAAAAAACAATCAATAAATTCAAATCAAGATGCTCTGTTTTCTTCAGGTACCGTGACCCACTGTAACCAGATTTGCCACTACGCTTTGAGACATAGCGGTTCACAGTTGGTGGCCCTTTGATTGGAGTTCGGGCTATTTTGGGCGTGGTGAAAACAACAACAGCTGGATTGTTTGACCATAGGACTGTCCTCTTTGGATTCTGGTGGCCCCAGCAAGCCATCCAAAAGGCTTGACGGTAAGTTGTAATTCCAAAGTCTTTCATGGTCTTTATCAGCCATTCCATTCGACATGTCAACATCAAAACAGAAGAACCTGGCTGTTCCAGCAGAAATGTCATTTGGAGTAAATTGATCAACAGTAGCAGGCAGCAAGTTCTTGCTGCCAAGCCATTGGCACGTAGCACTGAGCAAACCGTTGGGTCCCCATCTGGCATCCACTGGCTGCGTTTTGATGTTCCAGAATTCATGTGAACAAAACTGCTGCATTCAGTAGCTACCAGGGCTACCATGTCAGGGTCCCCGAAGAGTATCAAGGCCACTGCCAGCCTTAGGTGAACGAACACATCCCACTGATGAGATGATATTATGATACCACCTGACCTTGGATAAGCCTAAATGGCCACAACAAATGAAGGGGCTACAAAACCATAAAATGATTTAATTATATATATAATTATATATATATGGTTTGTCATAAGGTTATATAGAACATAAACTCCTGGTGGTATATAAGGGTCAAGGAACACAAAGCCCGAACTCTTGAGGAAGTCCAGCGCTGGAGAATAAACATAATCAACAGCTTTGGCTTTGTAACCTGTCCAGCTAGCAAGCCTAGAAGTTCGAGCTTGGCCTGAAAAGAGCTCTAAGAACTGGCACCCAGCAATCTTTGACACCCGTTCTGGAACCATGTAGGTGACCATGATCACGATAGCGATGAACTCCTGGATTTGTTGCTATTGTTTGACATGGGAACACTTTGATTTATGTGGACTCCATGTGTAAAACACCTTGGTGACCAAAGTTCATCATTGTACATAAATTTGACTAGTTGTAAAATAAAAGTATATGGGAACCATGGAAATCCAACACCATTTTCCCCAAGCAGGGCAGTCCTTTGGAACATGTGGTACCGACATCAGCTTACGAATCAGTTCTTCATGGCGCTGAAGCATGGCACCCAAAGAAAATACTAAGTCAGACCCTTTTGATCACTAGCTGCAGGATATGTACTGAATGAACAAGTCGATTGGCAAATGGATTCATCACTGACCGTTCATGGCTGCCAAACAGGTTGGGAAGACGGTCTTCATCAAGGCCACCATGGGAGGCCAGCCAACCTTGCCCTCGTTTCATCACCTGCAACCGGTGGATGTGGTATACATACATGGAATTGGAGTGGCCCACAAGTTTCCAATTATGATCTATCCACCTATATCCACCTCATGATTTTGCAATCAAAAGAATTTCCAATCCTGGGCCAAAGCCAAGTTCTTAAATATTTGTATATATCAAACCAAGATAGGATGGTGAATCTACCTGCATCAAGTATATTGTCCATAAAAAAAAATATCTTGGAAACTTGTTGGCGCTGGGTTTTGAAAACACGAGGCTCTGTGCATTTCAAAACTGGAATCAAGATTGCAATGAAATTTGACTTTCCCAATAAGATGCAAACATGCTTTTGCAGAACCTTTTCCTTCCCCGGTAAGCTGGATGCCAAAGTGGATTTTGCCACACTGGTTTGTGGCCCATGTTGCAAGGATCGCCCCTGCAGAACGTCAAAGGAAGATTTCACTTCCCATGTTTCCCCGAAAAGAATGCCGACTGCATTTAAGAATGCAGATGCGGCCCATCAAACAAATTTGAGAGCTATTCAAAGTTCAAATTAACATGTTTCTCATTGTTTCTCACTTCACTTGGCAAGGTTGGCATACTCCTCAGTCAGACCCATGATCACATCACCCAGCGCATCCGTAGCCGTTCCATCGACGACTTCATGGTTCTGGTTCTTGACAAACTTCCAAAAGCCATCCTGGTACAAGCTAGGGCTCTAACAGTTGTGGAAAGAATGTATCTTACACCACAGGTTCTAAGCATCGACAATTATTTGCTGGTTATGTTTTGATTAGAGGTGCCCTTTTGTGATCTTGGGAAACCACGAAAAAAACAACAAAAAAGTCACTGAGATTTCAGGGTTTCTATGTCATTATCTTAAACTTAATACCATATGTTTTTGGGATACCTGAACATCAGAGTCTGGAAGCCCATGGAATGCAAATCAAAGATCTTTGTTTCGAACCCTGTCCTCATGTTTGGTTTGGGGGCGAAGATACATCAACTCTCGGCGATAAGCACTGCGAATGGCCTCCCACTCAGCCTTGGCCCGCTCATTCGCAGGTGGATTGCGGCGAGCGAAGGACGCTGCATTGCCCTTGGAGGCTCGGGTTTTGGTAGGTGCTTCCTTTGCATCCTTCTTGCTGGTGGTTCCTCCCTCTGAGGTTCGTTTCTTAGATTGCTTCGACCTGCTACCGCCTTCTTGTGCATCACCTTTTGGGGGTGCTCGCTTGGGTGTGACAAGGACCTCGCTCTCTTCCACCTTTTCTTTCTTCGCCTTTGACTTAGCAAATGCCTTTGCCTTTGCCTTCGCTTTTGCTTTTGCTTTAGGTGAAGGTTTGCTACTTCGGCTCTTACCCTTCGCCTTTGCCTTCGACTTAGCTTTTGCCTTTGGGGTCTTTCCTTTTGGCTTGGTGGTGTCAAGATCGCCATCAGCTTCCGGTACACCGCCAAACTGTTGGATACGAGAAAGTGGCTCCTGGTGGGCAGTGTCATGCCAACTTGATAAACCAGTGTTGTTTAAACCTTGAATGGACCCCAAAATTGAGAATTCAGAATGTATACACTAATAAACTTGAACATGTTTTGCTCACTCAGGTTACGGTATGTCCTGGTGCTTGTCCGGATTGAAACTGACATCACCATCATGTGAAACCATTGCATCCAGTGGTGCCACGACCCCAACCCCATCATCTCCATTCTCCACCTGTCGCTCCACATTCTCTGCTGCGCTGGCTGCAGGCACTGAAGCCGATGGAGGAGAGACCGGTTGGCCTGGGAGGGCAGGCTGGTCCTCAGGATTGGTGAGAGGCTGCTCACCATCAGACGTCTCACCAAGTTCCAGAGTTCTCTTCTTCAAGATGTCATCATCTCCATGGTTGGGTGAAGGAACAGTATCAACCCCAACAGCATGAGTTCCATCATGGTTGGGATCAGCAAGGGCTTCGACTCCATGGGTTGGTGAATCAGGGGCACCAACCTCCGAGCTAGTCTCCAACATGGAACCATAAGAGTCACCACCACCCATGTCAAAGGGCAGGGTCTCCATAGCATCAACATTCACACCTACAGGGTATAGATGTGTGTCTTTGTTTTCAGTGAATCATTCATCCATACCTTTTGAAACCACAGAAAACATTTTTTGGAAAAGAACAAGCCTGAAGGTACTGATGGGCATCGGTCTTCTCTTTTGGGCTTGTTCTTCAGATCACGGATGGCTTGCAACCGCCTCCTTAGATCATTGTACATTAGGGCAAGTTAATATCACTTTAAGACCCTGAGGCGATGTTAACCTTTACAATAAATTTTGACCATAATGATATATGTTTTCACCCTAAAGTTTGAAATAATCATTTCTTGTGTAAAGCTTGGGTTTATGATGCCAAGAATCAGGACTGCCTCCCTTTGTGCCTCCAAACAAGCTCGGGATGCCTGTAACATGGCCATGGCCATGGGATCCTCCTCACACTCCCCAGGATCAGAAGCGCCTGGTTCTGAATCATCAGCTGCTGCTCGTTGCTCGTCATCGATGGCTGGCTGGGCCGGCGGTGGTGTCCCTCCCCAATGGTCAGTCATGGTGTCCATCAATCCATGGAGAAGAGGATCCTGAATCCAAGCATATGGTTTTCGACTTGGAGATCATTCATGGTAAACCATTATCATAACTTGTTTTCATGTCTGAACTGTCTGAACCCTGAAAAAAACACACTAAAACTTGTGGGTCGTAGGGGAAAACCTTGATGTTGATCCAAGAGTCCCTGAAGTTATTGATGGGGGACCTCCACCGCCTCAAGCACAGGGAAATCATCCGTTTGACCCCCCAAGCATCAAGGTAGAGGTTGACAGGTTTGACCTCGACATTCACCAGGACGTAGAGCTGCTTCACCTGTGTTTTTGCTACTATGTCGGTTTTGGTTTGTGATTTTTTCCATATGTTTCCAAACAAATTGGATACAACAGAAATGATTTGTTCAAGAAATCTTCCAATAACAAAACCATCCGATATAGAAAACAAAGTTTGGACATCACACACCTCATCCTTCAGCCATTCAACGGGTGGGCTCTTGGGGGTGGTTTCGTGGCTAGCCCAAATTGTGAGAGCATCATTGATGGCAGCTCGGTTCTGGGACAAAGCGGAGAGAGTAGCAATTCCGGTTAACGCCTTCTTGGGCCATGTCAACATTTTGCCATTGTCCCTCAGGGTTTTCCTAATGACCACATCCTCTTCCCAAAGTGCCGCCAACGCATGCCTAGGTGGCCATGGCTTGTTGCTGGCTTCATCTTCATCCTCGAAATCATCCATATGATTCTCAGGCGCATCAGGCTGTGGTGGGTGTGCCATGCTGAAAGCCTAGCCTGGGGCAACAGCAAGTTTGAACCCTCTCAAATTCCTGCGGTTCCAGGATTGCGACTTGATGGATGGTAGACCCCAAACATATATAGTTCAAACATAAATCATATTTCATACCAACCCTCCAATATATGATCATAGTTCGGTTAATTCCAAATCAATGGGGGGCAACTTCAAACTTGGCAGCCAACATATGCGATGGAAACCCCTTGTGTGAATTCATGCAAGTTCTCATAACATAAATATTGGTTAGTTGTCTCAGTTTTCCATCGGCTTAAAACTTTTTTCCATCAATAAGGTGGTTTTCATCACTCATTTTGAAATAATATATATGTATTTATATTATATATTAAAATATAATATATTATATTAACATATAATATATATATATAATATATATATAAATGATTGATGAAAACCACCTTATTGATGGAGAACCAACAAGATCCACCCCTAAGCCAGCTGGCAATGGGCCTGGAAAGTGGCTACATCCAGCACGTAACAGCAAGCAGCAGCAGCCTGGAGAGATGGAGGGTGATTGGACCGACCTACATACTGCATAAGGGTTACCAAATTATATAATATATACAGTATACTATCTTTGAAATCAATTCTTCAATTGTCTAAAGGGTATATACTTTTGCTTGTTTCTCCAGTCTTGTTTTTTATCATTACATTATTGCCTCTTGTTTCACCATGGTTCAACAGGAAACAAACCCTTGCGATCCAAGCCTTTCGCAAAGTCAAGTCCGCTCAGCATGGCATGACCTGCGCAAGGGGCACACCACAAAAAATGATTCAACTTGCAATTGTTGTTCATTCATGCTTGGGATGGTTGATGGCAGTCAAGACAAGCTTTAGGACATCTTTTTTCACCTCATATCGACATTTGTGATTTCTAATGATTTCTAGTACCTGTGACCCCAAAGCCGGTAGTAAGCAGCTATGTCCAAATCTGATTCTCTCAAAAGAAGTTGGGGGTGCAGCTGATTCTCAGCCAAGATGCACACATCAAGGCATGTAGCTGCTAGGCACCCCACATCGCCGCTATTCAAAAATGAAAGTACAGGGGGAGTTTGGTACAACCCCCTGAAGTCGGAAAACAAATAATTTCCCAGCAGCTCCACTGTTTGGATCACTTGTCCACCATGTCGGTTTTCCTTGAGAACCCCAAAGTCAAAGGATTCAAATTTGGTGGTATGACTGTGTAATTGAAAGTTATTTCAAATGATTGCGATGAGGAAATCAAACCACCATATCATCAATCATAAAAAATGATGATAATCATTGGGACCGATCTGAACAATAAGATTATGTGGATTTATTTGGTGTTGATTGCAAGTGAAAAAAGATGGTATTTCTACAAAACCTTTGGGTTACACCATTGCTTGACAAAACTCTTCTCCTGAATCTCCTGGTGGGCATCATCCCGACGCTTTGCCTCTTTCTGGGAGGCCCGTTGCTTCTCCTGGCGCAAGGCCAGGAATGGTGAGAGTGAGATGAAATTCTCAGGGCAATGCCAAGCAACCGGACTTGATGCTATACACGTTCCATGTTTAACTTTATGAGACATGTCAGATATCTTAAGCCATATATCAACATAAAATCATGGCATGGATCCTATAATATAGCCACACATCCGTCCTTGTTGAAAAGATCACGGCAAATACCGCCAGCGTGGATGTTGGTGACAACCAAGTGGAGGAATTCATCCGGGCTAGGTGCGTCCTGAGAATGGAGAAGGGGAAAGGTAGACCACTGACCCATGTTAATTAACTTGCTGGGCTGTGTTGTAGGGCTGTGTAGCGCAACCATGGGTTGCTGATAAGTTTCATCACTTGGCGAGAACAACGCTTCCTTGCACAAGTCCCAAAAAAAGTTGTGTACATCTCCAAGGCCTTGCGGCTCCGGGGGTGTGGTGTGAGATGAGCCAGGAATACCAATGTTTAAATCAAACATGCCTTCTTTCAAATGTGATAAGTTGAGAGTTCCGAATGCATTCCATGTATCTTCATCCAAAAGCACTTGAGCTGATCTATCCTATAAACCCAGATTATAGACTTGCTTTCCAGCCTTCTTTCTGAATGGTCTCGATGGCATCGAAGGAACATTGGACAATGAGGTCGGCCATGGTTCTAAGCGGTTAGCTATTAGGATCCCCTTGAGATGAACCAAAACGCTACCCAGGTCACAGCAAGATTTCTATTGATATGGGTCAAATATAGAGCAACCCAAAGTAGATATAGATCGTGTTTTTATTGGCTTTGACCCATATCAACTTGAAGTTGCTAAGAAACAGCATCAACAAGATGCAAAGGGAGGGTGGCACCTTCTCAACGCATGGTCCCCCAATGGGGCTTGGCTCTGCTGAGCCACATTGAGCCCGAAGGCTCACATCAAGGCATTGGACCCAAGATGGATGGATGTTACCAATAATGAACCATAATAAACCAGCCTGGTCAACAGAAAGTATGCAGATCATCCCAAAATAGCTATATATCAAAAAAGGTAATCTTTTGGTGGGTATAACCAAAAAAAGTCATTATTTGGAAAAACATGGTTTTTCCCGAAATGACTAAAATTCTGCATACTTTCGGTTTGCCAGGTATATATATATATATATTTATTATACAATCTGGTTATTTAACGTAGCTATGGAAAATCAGCATGTTTTAATGCGCAAATCAACATGTTTATCATCTATGTGTATGGGCCATGGCTTCCATGTTGGATAACCAAGGGATATACAAATAGACATTTATATATATATATATATGTATACGCATTATACTATAGGTACTCTACCATACAAAGCCATATGTTGGAGATATATCCCCTTGCATAGCCCTTACGTAGACCTTGTATATGGTAGGTACCTTCAATAAATCAGTTCCTGAAATGGCCACTGATATGTATATATATTTATATGTGTATATATTTATATATACATATCATTAATTATATATATATATACATATTTATATATATATATATGTAATGTGTGTATATATATATATATATATGGTCCCCCCAGTGATGTTTGTTGGTTTGTACACCCAATGAATAAACAATTGAAAGATGATGTTCCCATTTAAAATTGTGATTTTCCCATTAGAAATTGTGATTTTCCCATTGGTTCGTTAAATCATCCCTAGATCATCTTTAATTCAGCCACTTCTGTACGGCAACTTATAACGCGAGCTCGAACGGGGATTGTTTCTGGCGATAGTGACTGATGAGAGGATGAATATAACCAGCAGTATATTGGGTAAAATTTTAGGAATATACCCAATATATCATCCCAGATAGAAGCTTCTAAGAAGGGGATAATCCCATATTTTACGTTTGAATGCACTAAGAAAAATAGAAACATTACAAAAAACAATGCAAAAACACGCGTCAATCATCCGTAGATGAGACATCACTGTCGCCTTGTGTACTCACTGCAGGATGGATATGCATGGATGTTAAAGACAAATAACAAGCAGATATCCATAGATTCATGTATATAGGTATCCATCCATCCATCCATCCATCCATCCATCCATCCATCCATCCACTGTATCTATCTATTGTGCCTATTTACATATACATCTATGTATATATATATATATATATATCCACATATAGATATAGGTATGCAGCCCAGAATTGGATGATGGGATATTGGTGCGCAGGAAGCCCTTCCTTTTTGCGATTCTCCCCTCAATGAATCCATTGACCCAAAGATTGATGGTACCCTCTGGTCAACAAGCAAACAAAAAGCTATTGAAAATGGTCCAGTCGAAATAGTTGATTTACCCATGAAAAATGGTGATTGTCCAGTTCGTTTTCTGTATGTTTACCAGAGGGTAAACCCCATTAAACCAGCCATGAATTTATGGTCGAACCTCCATGAAACCATCGAAGTTTTCTTGATGCTTAAGCTACACAATCTATTTAAAATGGATTTTCCCTCCAGAACAAGATAGTTTGCCCTATTTTTGTTGGTCAGATCCGAAAAAAATGTTACAGTTACATCACTATTGCTCTCCATGTTTGATATCTCCGTTGATGATTCAAGCATAAATTCATGGTGACTTTTTTCCCCATGGAAATCTATAGCTTTTTACCGCACAGTTTCCAATGATAAAAACTGCTGAATTCATCATCAATTTCCCAATTAGATCATCGATGTCCCACTTAAATCCACCCAGTTCCCACTGGAAAATCCCCATCTGTTGATGCAAGCAAAAATGCCATAAACTCCACAGAAATCCCATAATTTCCCATAACCATCCCATGGTTTCTCACATAGTTATCTCATATTTTCTTGATCAATCATTAAAACATCACATAAAACACCATCTTTAGATGGTGTTTTATGATGTTTTAATGATTGATCATAGTTATCTCATAAAGATCATCATTTTCAGGAGAAGGATCCAGACCTCGTTGAGCACAACTTCGAACTGCTCCGTGCCATGCCTCTGCCGAAAGCGTTGAAGTACGCCTCGATGACGCTTTGGGTCTTCACGTGGAAGTTCACCTACTATTCACCCAATACCTACAAGGACGAGAGTCGAAATGTGGGGCAGCGGGATTTTTTGATGTTGTGATTCTATTATGTATACATACAAATATTTATTTATATTTATATATATATAATTAAATTATGTATATAATTATATATATATACATATATACATAATTATATATATATGTATATAGAATATGTTTAGTTATGTTAAGTATATGTATTGTTATTGTTTGTTGTGTTTTTCATTTTAATACTCGTATGATTTTATGTATTTATTGTATTACGACTATTGTGTTGATGTTTTTTTAATGACTCTGATTATTACTAATGTTGTTATTGTCCTGTGGTTAATTGTAACATACTGTACATACATATATACATATATATGTACATTGTAAATATGTGTGAAGGGATATTCTTATTTGTACATAATTCACATGTTTGAGGGGATATGACCTACAAGGATTGTTTGGGCTGATTGAGCACGAAACAAAAGTGTATGAAGCAGCAATGGTTGGGGTGCTGATATTTCCTGAAATGGTTGGGTTGAGAATCATTTGAAATGGTGGCTAAGTAATGGTTCATCCTCAGCCAAGATGTTGATAGGCATTTATAGAGAAAATATCCCCGATCCTGAATGATTGCCAAGTTCCATTTTTATACCTGAACCAAGGGGGATATGATTCGTATCCCCAGAACGAGAGATGTGTGCAGGGAAACTGGAAATATACCCTCTGGTAAACTAACATAGCTATGGAAAATCACCATTTTTAATGGGAAAACTCACTATAAATGGCCATATTCAATAGCTATGTTAAATTACCAGAGGGTAAACGAACAAGAGGGCAGGAGGTTGATGGTGTCGTTCATATCAGCAGTGGTTGTCATATCTACAAGTACCAGCAAATCTGGAGGTATAAGCACTCGCTTCAATTTGTACCCTCTGGTAAACATACAAAAAACTATTGAACATTGCCATTTATAGCTGATTTACCCATTAAAAATGGTGATTTTCCATAGTTTTCTGTAAACGTTTACCAGGCCGGGTATTCACAATTTCAGGTATCTAAGTTGGAGGTACCTACCATCCTGCAGTGGATCGCTACCTGGCCAGTGATCAGCCATTAAACCAACAAATAATTTGGATTTATGTATCAAAACCGATATGTCACCAGCATACATTTTATCTCAAACAGGTGAAACTCCAGTTGTTTTGGGTTCATTTTTGGCATGTCTTGTTTTTTTTGCATCTAGGCATTTGGATATAAATTGATAGAACCAATCAGACAGGCTGTGGTGGTCTCATTTTTTTTGGCCTATTCCGCAACACATAGTACATGGCATATATGATCTGGAGGACCTAGAACGACCTCATGTCCTAATTGAACAGTGGCCTTATTTCAGACCTTATTTCAGGCTATTTTCAAGTTGGTGAATTGTTTAAAAAAATCAGCTCTCGATACAGCAATCTGGGTAATTTATAACGACCTCACTGTTCTCCCTCGAATGATGGTTAAGGGAAATTACCCCCCATAGCTGGCCTTATTTCAGGTCTGTGAATTATAGTTTGCCCAGAGTCCCAATGACTCATCCATTGAATTTTGTTCGAGGAGTTGGCGCTGTCCAAAAAGGACCGGACGACCCGATTCCTTCAGCAGGGATTGTATTGGTGGGGTAAAGCCGAACGGATTCATCGAACATCGTTTTCAGAATGGGTATAGATAATGGTGAATTTATAATGGTATAGAATATTAATGAATAATTGATGGTACAGCATGAACTGAGATGAAGCTTGATTTTTGCTTGGTTGACTTGGTCAAGATCGATGATAATCGAGGTCAGGTTGCGCTGTCGAATCGTTCTGCTGCGTTGACAACGTGGTTTCCATAGTAATGTGGTAAACCCATATGCTCCATGGTGCTGGAATATTTACCAACATTTGCCCTAAAAATCACCCAGTTTTGTAGGTAAATAATGGTAAATAAACCATACATGGAGCATATGGGAAACGCAATACCAATCTCAAGTTTACCCGGATATCATCAGTTCGCCAAATATCAGGCCAGAAAATGAAACTACCACAGATGGGTAATCGCAAGTTTTCAATGGGCTCAGAAACCTAGCTCCCGACTTGCATCCCCATTTCCTATTTTCTTACATCTTTAAGCTAGTCACTATTATAATTTTAAGATATTTTAAGTATATGTCCTCCGATAATCAAATGTGGCAATGGAAATTCCACCATTTATAGATGATTTTCCATGATTTTCCAACGCATGCATAGGGGATTTTCCATTGCCCCGTTTGATTACCACCATAATATCCATCAGTTGCGCGTCTCATGATACGTGAATGATGCGCGCGCATGCGAGGCCTTGCAAGTTGGTGGTGAGCCATATACATTACCATCTGGTAATTTAACATAGCCATGGAAAATGGCCCATTTATAGATGGTTTACCTGGGTTTATCTATTAAAAAATGTGATTTTCCATGGCAAACTGTTAGTCATAACCAGATGGTATCATTTATAACCAGTATGTTACATGTATATATATATATATACATATAGCTCCCCAGCACTTTATACATAGCTCCGTATAGCTCCATATAGTTCCCAGCAGTTTATATATAGCTCCCCTGGAATTTCATATTGATGGACTAGCTTCTGGTTATTTAAGCTATGAAAGATGGCCCAATTACAGATGATGTTCCCAGCTATAAACCTCTATTCATTTCATGGATTTTCCAGTTCGCTATGTTAAATAACCAGATGGTATATAAACTAATGTAAATTGAACGTATGTAACATGATATCATGTGTAAATATAAATATATATATATATATTTTACAATATATATATATATACATATGATGAGGATGATAGTTTAATATTATATGATTATATCATGATCTTATCAATCTTATCTCATATATATATATATATTGATGAGTTATTTTGCATGCAAATTACCCTCTGGTTATTTAACATAGCCATGGAAAATAGACCATTTATAGATGGTTTACCTTTAAAAAACATGTGATTTTCCAGTTCACTTTGTTTGTTTACCAGAGGGTAAACCTCCATTTTTCTATGGTTTTCCTATGGTTTTCCTATGGTTTTCCAATTTCCAGAGAGTAAACCAACACAAATAACCTGCGGATAACCAACCTGTGAAGAATTCACCAGGACAGCTGGTTGGCCCGCAATTGGCCTAGCTGGTCCAAGAAAACGGATCCCGTGGTGGTCTTCGACGCCCTGCGGATGCCGGTAGAGGCCTTGTGGATGCTTGGAGAATTGCGAGAATTGATATGGATTTCATAGAAAAACCATAGGAAAATGGTGGTTTAGTGAGTTTTTTAT